AAGAAACAGGAGCTCAGCCCACGGCTGCCTTGGGTGCGAAGGCACACAGCTGACAGCTCGTTAGCTTGAGATGTCCCTGCAAAATGAGAAGTTTGGAGGAAGCCTGCGTGGCTCCTGGCTACACCTTCCCCAGCACTACCAGACATCTAAAATCCCAACACCCTCCTACAGAGCCTGGCAAATCTTCTACCTTTGGCTTCTTTTTAACTGCCCAATTCCTTCAGTGTAGTCCAGTTTTGTTGAAGTACATGATAGACGTTGGGCTGCCTATCAGAGTGGAAGCTGAGTTTTCCCATACCTAACTCAGAAGTGGCCAAGTTCACACTCGAATCCCATCCCTGGTCACAGAGCACCTTGAAAGCTGGAGCAGTGAGTTGAGATGTCAGCATAGATGGGGAATTGCAGTGTCCTGAGCTAGAGTGGGAGGGCAGTCTGCATCCTGCACTGGAAGTGAGCGGCAACAAGCTGGGAAAAATAAAGGCACACAAATCAATTAAAATTATCAATTAAATTGTCAATTAAATTATCAATTAAATGATCAATTAAAATGTAGGAATTGAAATAAAAATCAAATTCTAATGAAGTTTCACAGGCTGTAACTATTTGGCAGGAAAAGTTCAGGGGTTTGCATCTCTTAAATAACATCTCCTACACTAGGACCATTCAAACGAGGGAGCGTGGGATCAAATAATCCACTGTGGGAAGATGGAGGATTGTCCCTGTTCATTGCAGGGAGGTGGACTAGATGAGCTGTAAGGGTCCTTTCCTTCCAACTTAAACGATTCTGTGATTTCCAGGAAAGATTTAGACCTGGGGGCTTGTAACCAGCAAAGGCTGAGAATGAATGGCACCACGAGTTGGAAAATAAAAGATTGAACCCTCAGAGTCATGAGCACGGGAATAAGGTCCACAATTAAAGATATCAATGGGAATTCACAAGAAAGAGGCCCGGTCTGAACAGGGAAGAAAAGAGACTGTCCGAGGAGATGTCCTTTGGGCCTGCATCAGGCAGAACACAGAAAATTAGCAGCGGGCACTTAAAAAGCAAGAATCAAACGGAGCTCTTTGTTTTGTCGCTGTGAACTGAAGCGATGAAGCATTTTGCTTTACTAATATCTCCTATCAAAGCTGATGAGGTGAAGTGGCTCTTTGGAACGATTTGGGAGCCCATTAATCCCCGCCTGTGGCTATGGGTGAGCGGCACGCACCGAGCTGCGGGCTCACACGCATTTTTCTGCTCTCTCACAACGACGGGCAAACTATCCCAACCAAAAACCCGCACCAAGCAAACGCCTGCCTGGTTTCGAAGAGGAAAACTTCCTCAGAAGCAGTCACCAATCGCATTTGGAGGTTAATTTAAAGCTCGGAACAACGAGGGGAATAACTCGTCGTTTGGAGGTGTAAACAAAACCCACTTTTCAGATGCAAATGCTACGCTGGGTGCCAGCAGCGGTGCTCGCGGTGCCCGAAGGCGGGACGGTGACCTGCAGGCTCGCACCCAGCTGCTCACCGCTGTTCTCTGAAGGAATCCCTCGCACTATTTGCATTGCAAATGCCCCGCGCTGCAGACGGAACACGGGATATTGTTCGTCGCCGACGGGCGCTGCGCGGGCACCGCTCCCCAATAGCCGCCCCGCGGTCTCCATCGCGGTGCTGTGCGCGCCGGGAAGGGCGGGAGGGGGAATGGGGGGGGAATGAAGGTGTGTGAGGGGAAGCGGAGGGAGGCGGGTGGAGGTGGGAGAGAGGGGTGCTGAGGGAAAGGGGAGGTGTGTGAGGAGAAATGGGGGAGGAAAAGGGGAGAGGCTGAGGGAAAACGGGTGAGAAAGAAGGAGAAGGTGTGCGAGGGGAAAATGGGGGGGAGAAAAAGGGGAGAGGCTGAGGGAAAATGAGACACTGAGGGGGAAATGGAAGAGACTGAGGGGAAATAGAGAAACTGAGGGGAAAATGGGGGAGAAAGGTGAGGGACACGAGGAAAATGAGAGAAATGGAGAGGAAGATGGAGGATTTTTGAGGGAAAATAGAGAAACTGAGGGAAAATGGGGGAGAAAGGAGAGAGGCTGAGGGAAAATGAGACACTGAGGGGAAAATGGAAGAAGGGAAATAGAGAAACTGAGGGAAAATGAGGGAGAAGGGAGAGGGACACAGGGAAAAAGAGAAATTGAGGGGAAGATGGAGGATTCTGAGGGAAAATTGAGAAACTGAGGGGAAAATGGGGGAGAAACAGGGAGAGGCTGAAGGAAAATGAGACACTGAGGGGAAAATGGAAGAGACTGAGGGGAAATAGAGAAACTGAGGGGAAAATGGGGGAGAAAGGAGAGGGATGAGGGGAAAATGAGAGAAATTGAGGGAAGATGGAGGATTCTGAGGGAAAATAGAGAAACTGAGGGAAAATGTGGGAGAAAGAGGGGAGAGGTTGAGGGAAAATGGGACACTGAAGGGAAAATGGAAGAGGGGAAATAGAAACTGAGAGGAAAATGGGGGAAAGAATAAAGTGTGTGAGGGGAAAATGGGGAAAGGGAAACGCTGAGGGAAAATGAGAGAAACTGAGGGAGAAATGGGGGAGAAAGGAGGGAGATGTTGAGGGAAAATAAGAAAAATTGAAGGGGAAATTGGGAGAAAGAGAAGGATAAGGTGTGAAGGGAAAATAGGGGAGAAAGGGAGATGTTGAAGGAAAATAGGAGATACTGAGGGGAAAATGGGGGAGAAAGAGGAGGAGTGTGAGAGGAAAATTGGGAGGATGTTGAGAAAATGAGAGAAGATGGGGGGGAAAGAAGGATAAGGTGTGTGAGGGAAAATGAAGGAGAAAGGGGGGACGTTGGGGGAGAATGAGAGAAACTGAGGGGAAGAATGGGGGGACGCTGGAGGAAAATAGGAAACAGGAAAAATGGAAGACAGGAGAAATAGAGAAACTGTGGGGAAAAGGAGAGAAAGAATAAGAAGGTGTGTGAGGGGAAAATGGAGAAAGAAAGAGAAGGTGTGGGGGGGGAAATGAGGGAGAAAGTGGAGAAAAATGAGGGGCATTGAGGGAAAATGAGGGAGGACAAGGACAAAAAAAAGATGAAAGAAACCAAGGAGAAACTGAGGGAGAAAGAGGTAAAGTGAAGGTGTGTGAGGGGAAAATGAGGGAGTTTGGAGGAAAAATGAGGGAAAAAGGGAAGGTGGGGGGAATGCAGGAGGGACACTGAGGGGGAAATGATTTGAGAAAGGGGAATGTGAGAGAAAAATAAGGGATATTGAGGTGAAATGAAAGAAACAGAGGAAGCCAAGAGAAAATGAGGGAAAATGGGGTGATAACGAGGAAAACCAATGGTGTATGAGGAGAAAGAGAGCCTGAGGGAAAAATAAGGGACACTGAGGGAGAACGAGAGAAACCTGAACGAAAATGAGGGAGAAGGGGTGTAAAATAAGGAAAATTGGGGTATTGAGGGGAGAAGTGGAAGAACAAGGGAAAATGAGGGAGAAGGCAGAAAAATTAGGAACATTGAAGGGGGGGGGGGAATCGAGAAGATAAAGGGAAAATTGTGGATAAAGAGGGAAAATGAGGGAGAACCAGAGAAAAGAGAGTGAGGGAAAATTGGGAACAATGAGGGTATACAGGAGAGAGAAAGGGGAAGAAAACAGGGAGAAATAAGAACGAGGATAAGTGAAGGTTTGTGAAGAGAAAATGAAAGGAAATGAGGGCTGGCAAGGTAAGAAAAAGGGAAACTGAGGTAAAAGGGGTACAGTGGAGAAAATGAGATGGTTAAATTAGGAAGACTGGGGGAAAGGTGAGGGAAATGTGGCAATTGAGAAGAAATGAGAGAAAAGGAAAACAAGGGAGAGCAATGGAAATGAGCAAGGAAGAGGGAAAATGAAGGCACACGAGGGGAAAAATGGAGATGGAGGAAAATCAAGGGAAAAGGGGGGATTGAAGTTGAATATGAGAGCATGAAGGGTGACAAAGACAGAAACTGAAGAGCAGTGAGGAAAAAATGATGGAGACTGAGGGAGAACATGGGAGAGTGAAGGTGACGTTGGGAAAAATAATGGAGATGGAGGAAAAAGGAAGAAAAAAGAGGGAGGCTGAAGGAGCATAGTGCCGCTTCCTCCCAGCCACGGCTGAGCCCTGCCCAGCCATTCCGAACAGCGGCATCCGCTGCACTGGGAACTGTGGTTTCCCTTGTTCTCAGCTCATTTGTGTATTAAATTAACGAACGGGTGAAGTTCGCAGCCACCGATGGCGGCGGGAAAGCGTAGGCCGAGGGAGAGAAAGGAGCAGCGCGCAACGAACCCCAAGCTCTGGTCCCGGTGCCGGGCTGCGCGATACTGGGTGACTGCGAGGGGCTTGAACGGGGCGCGGGCCCGACCACGCCGCAAGACCGGAGCGCGCTTCAGCGCAGCACCGCGCCCACTGATAAGAGGGGGAGGGGAGGGAAGGGGGCACGGGAGGCGGTGAAGCCCCGCCCACTTCTCGTCCCGCCCACCACTCCCCGCTTGACCCACCACAGGCTCCGCCCCTTTCCCCGCCCACTCGGCGTACCGCCCGCCTTCCGTTGGACAGAACAGCCGCCCGTTATGCGGAGGCGGGGAATACCGGCGGAGTTAAGGCGGAAGCCCCGCCTCCCGGCATGAAACGGAGCTGCTATTGGTGGAGAGCGAGTGCCTCTCTGGTGGCGTCGGTTTCCGGTTCCGTGGGGCGGGCGTCGGGGGGTGGCGGGGCTGCTGCCTGTGAGTGACACACAATGAGGCGAGCGGCGGCGGCGGGGCCGTGAGGGGCCGCGACCGTGCAGGCAGCGGCGGCGGCGGCCGAGGCGGCAGCAGTCGGGGAGGGGGGTGGGGGGAAACGGAGCGGAGAGCGGCTTCGCTTGTAAGGCGGGGGAGAAAGTGGGGGCGGAAAAAGAGGACCCCCCCCCCCGTCGACCGTCCAGCAGAATCGCCGCGGCGGCAGCGAGCGAGCGAGTGAGCAGGGCCCGCGGCGCTGCGCTCAGCCATGGACAATCAGGTGAGGGGAGCGGGACCCCACGCCGTCCTCAGTGCCGCCACCCCGCATAACCCCCCCATAGCATGACCCCCCCCAATAGAATAGGGGGGCGGGGCCCCTTTAATGAGGAGGGATTGAGATCCCCCCCTCCCCCGGCTGGGGTAGCTCCCCCATTTCCCCTCCATCGTCTTTTGTGGGTGGGGGGGAGCGAGCCCTCTCCCCTTCCTGGGCGGCCGCGCCGCAGCCTCGCCCTCGGCAGGGGGTGGCAGCCGCGCTTCCCGCACATTCCTGCCCGGGCTCATTGGGGGGGTGGTGCCGGCCCTGCTCCCCCCACCCCTTCCCACTGCCGTGAAGGCATTTGGGAGGGGGGTTCCCGCCGTCCCGGTAGCTCTGCAGGGCCTCATCAGGAGGAGCGGGGGCTGGAAGTTCACCTGGGCGCCCTGCAAAGGCCTTTTGTGTGCGAGGCTGCAGCCAGGTCGGCCCGGCCCGAGGTAGAGCCCGCTATGCTGCGGATAATAACTCCGAGGAGGCCGGATGGAGCCTGGTCATGGCTTTCAGGCAATTAGCGCATCAAACAAATACCAGAGCGCGCTACAGAGCGTTTATTAAGTTGAAAAGCAGACTCGTTTTGTATTATTACAAATCGTTTGAATGGGATCCTGCTTTCCCTTTGTCGAGAGACATGGTTGGGGGGGAAAAAGAAAAAGAAATGCTCTGTTTTTAGCAGAGAGACTTCGGGTGTTTGTTATGGGAGGTGTTATTTTCAAATGTGTTTCAACTTCTGGCTTAATTCAGAGAGGTTGTTAATTGGACCGATATGTGAGGAGTATCGCGAGTACAACTTTCACTCTCTGCTAAGCAGTTCTTTCATGTTTAATTTTGTTCTCTTCCACATAGTCCCATCTGTTTCTCAGCTAAAATTTCTCAGCTGTTTCAGCTAGGAAGGCAAATAGTGTGGAGTGACAGCCATTTGCACTGCGCTGGAGGGGGGTAGGAACTGGCAGCAGTCACAGAATTTTAAGGGGAATTACGGATTCGATAAGGTGAAGCTGTAAAACAGAGTAGATCAGTTGATGCCCAAACAGTGTGATGTGCCCCAGGTATAGGGCATGCCTATGGGCACCCTCCCCAGTGGGCCTGGGCTTTAGGCTACCTCTCCATATAGTGCTCATCCACTGTGGGAAAGATAACCGTGGTTTGAGTGAAGCACCTTGCCTTCGTCTCGTTCCTTAACGTGACACAGAGGAGCAGACAGCCATGCAGCATCATTTTAGCGCGGGAGCGAGATGGAGCCAGTGTAGATAAGCCCTACAGCACAAAAGAGGAAAATGGCTTGCCAGGAGAGCTTGCAGAAGACAGCAATCTGAAGGAATGTGTTACTAAAGCAGGTGAAGCAATTAATTACGTGAGTTTGCCTCTGAGTCTTTGGATTGATGGCAGCCGAAGCTGTTTTACTGAGGATAATTGCCTGAAAGACTGTGTTAAGGTTTATAGTTGAAATTAGAACTGAACTGAGATCTGGGAGATGGAGCTTTGATGCCCAGTGCTCTGTAGGCTTCCCGTGTGATCTTTTTACAAAGAAAAAGAAAACACTGAGATGAAGTGACTGAAAGGCTTTTTCAGAAAGTATTAACGATGCTCTGAAAATTACTTTCTGATAAAATGTCAGGTTAGATTGGACACACAAAATGGTTTATGAGCATTTATCATAGTTCTGTTTTCTGCTGCAGTTCCTCGATAGGAAAACGTGGATAATACTTCTGCTGAGCATTTGTCTAGAGCTTGGGAAGCTTTTCCTTTTTGCTGCTCAACATTTAACATCATGCCCTCAGGTTGGGTCTGTGTTTGCTTGTGATGACAAATTTGGTTGCCTTTCCTCGTGGAGAGCTGACGGGGCATTGCATTTATTTTCAAGTCTTAGGTGAAGAATGGCATAAGGACTGAAAAGCAGCCCACTTATTTTTCAGAAACTTCCAGTAGTTGAATTTGGTAGTGGTTAATTTGAGATGGCTGTGCTGCTGGTCCTGTTTGGATAACATACATACAAAATTAACCTAATAAGTAGTCAGGTACCCTGAGTGTGATTCCATCTCTAGCAATCATGTCCTAAGATGTACTTCCTTTAACTTGTGTTTGAATCATATTGGCTTTTCCCTATTACATCTTTTTAATTCATTTGCTTTCTTCTGACCACGAAGTCTACAGGAAGATGTGAATCTTTACAACATCTAGATCTGTTTTTTTAGGATATTTAAAGATATTTTTAATTTTTTAATTTTTTTTTTTTTATTTTTTACTTTGTGATACTGAATACATCTCTGTTATTCAATATTAGAATTCAGGACTACACATCAGAATTAGGTCATTTTCATATTGGATATTGTGCAGGCATGGTACATGCTGACTTTGTCTTTGAAAGTCAGTTAATACAATATATTTAAAAGAATGGAGGATCATAGCTGTGTTCCAGTGAAATACAGAGTCTTGAAAATACCATCAGGCACCAATTCATGATCTGATTTTTCCCATTTCAATTTTTTTAGTGCTGTGAACATCAATTTCTATCCCTGACTTTCTAGAAATAAAGGTTCTGCAATGAGGACTTTGCTGACACTTTAATTGATAAGTGAGGCAGATAAACCTACCCCTCCTCTAAAACCCTTTTCTCTACAATGCTAATATTAGGAAAAAAAATAGGTATGAAGAGATGCTTGGAGCTATTTTTATAAAACCTTTTCTGGTTGATAACAATACTGTAGTTCTCAGAACGAGAACTAATCTCTGTGGAGGCTGTTGTGCAGTTGTTATGCAGCATCTTCAGTCTGTGGGGCTCAGCATTGATGTGTGATTTGCTTACATTCTGACCTCTGTCCTCAAACAGTGCACAGTTCAAGTCAAATTGGAGCTGGGGCACCGAGCCCAGCTGCGGAAGAAGCCCACAACTGAGGGGTTCACCCACGACTGGATGGTGTTTGTGCGCGGCCCGGAGCAGTGTGACATCCAGCACTTCGTGGAGAAGGTGGTCTTCAGGCTGCATGAGAGCTTCCCGAAACCCAAGCGAGGTGAGTCACGTTTTGAAGATGGGTTTTTAGGTCTTCTGTGTGAAGTAGCACTGTGCAGTGTAGACTGTCTTGTACTGTCATATTTCTGTAAAATGTCCTCATGAGGAGGAACAAAACATGCCTTCCTTGCACTTGAGTCTTAACTTCACCTTAACCATCTTTGATTGAGGAAGGTGAGGGAGAAAGAATGAGACCTTTCTTCTGATGGAAGGTTTGGAGGTGAGGTGCTTTCTCCTCCCAGGCAGCAGTATGTGACAGCAGAAGGTGATTCGTGTTACCGAATGGGAAAGGCGGGTTTGGTTTGTTGATATCAGCCAACAAAAGCTGGAAGTGTGTGATGGGTGAGAGGCCCTCAGATAGGGGACTGGGGTATGTGCTGCAGCAGGGAGACTTCTGTGCTGGTCCCTTGGTTTGTTCAGCCCAGAGCACTGAGTGGAAGGGAAGCACTGATCTCTGTGACAGCAACAGGGCATGAGGGAACAGCATGGAGCTGTGTTGGGTGGAAGGGGGTTCAGGTGGGGGTTAGGGAAAGGTTCTGCACCAGAGGATGGTGGGGGTGGAACAGGCTGCCCAGGGGCAGTGGGAATGGCCCCAAGCTGCCAGAGCCTGGGTAGTGTTTGGGCAGCACTGTGTCGGTCATAGAGGATGGATTGGGGTTGGTCCTGTGTGGAGCCAGGGGTTGGATTTACCTGTGGATCCTTTCCAGCTCAGGATATTCAGTAATGTATTTTCTGTAAGCTCTGGTGCAGTCAGCAAGGTTGGGAAGCTACACAACAAAATAACACTACAAAAATTGCAGTGCTATTTTCTGCTGGATCAGTTCTTTGCTCTGAGTGTACAGCAACATGAACCTTATTGTCGTGGGGCAGCTGGAATGCGTGGTGGAGGAGCAGGAATTGCCCTTCTTGGCAGCAGCCGGGCCTTAGATCTATTTGAGATTGTGTAACTGCATGCTGTTATTATGTAGTGTTACCAGGAGTGCTGACTGCTTAGCAGTACTGCTATAAATTACTTTGTAATGCACATTCTCTGAGATACTTTTTTGGAAGACTGCTGGTCATGCAGGATGTGTTGGGGCTGCCTCCTGCACCATTTATTTGTGAGAGTCTACAACAGAAAGCAACTCCGAGGTTTTCAGCTCCCAGGGATGTGAATTTAGTGTGGATGTTAATAATATCTCCTTCAAACTGACGTAGTAAAACTGATGTATGATAAGGCAGTGCAATACTGAGCTGGGAGCTAATTTGTAGAACAGAAATTACAATCTGCTGTGCTACAATTCTTGTCATCCAGTGTAATTACATTATTACAAACAACTGTACTGGGATAGCACATTGTCTTTGCTCAGTGGGTTGCCGTGTCATCTACCTTTAAAGAGAGTTTTTCTTTTCTCTTAGATTTTAAGTGCTTTCTTAAGCTTGCTTACGTAGATTGGAGGTTTCTTCTGTTGGCTCTCCCTTACTTGAAGCAAAATCTAGTGGTGAGGGTGGGCTTGTGCTGTGGGCAGATTGCTTCTGTGTCAAGTTTAATTTCTTAGGATAGGGTGGAAAAGGAACAAAGGCTGCTTGGCAAATCATCTTAAGATTCCTGATTCCATGCTGACACTGTGTTTGGATTTTGTGCTTTTTTTCCACAAGGTTTCTATGCAAAAATTCAAGTGGCTCTGGGGATGTTGAGTATTTTTAGATAGGTTCTTTTTTCCCTGCAGTTGAATTTTCAGTACTGCTTACTGGTACCTTTATGATGGTTCTTAGAGCTGGGAATAATGTATCTATGCTACAAGAAAATTGCTGTGCTTTTTAGGTTTGAGGTACTGTTTCCTAATCATACTACTTGCAGTTCTTTAGGGAAAGTCAGAAGACTTGCACCAAACTCCCCTAATTACTTTATTGATTTGATTTACATGTATTGTAGTGCATGAATTGTGTGCAAGTGCATCCGGTTCTTGAGAGGGAGAATTTCTGTGTCGGTCTCATGTTTCTGCTGGCAGTTGCTATGTATAGCTGTGCCGTGGCCAAGTGATCATAGAAGCCTTTGAGCTGCCTCTCACTAAGCAGAAATACAGCAGTAGGTGATAGGAAGGATTTAGTAACATGAAAACACAACAGGTAGCGGAACGAGGAGCAGGAAGCACGTAGATTAATTTCTTAAAGTGATTAACTTTTGCAATCTGTATTCCTGCAGCAGGCAGCAGCAAACTGTTTCACCTCCCTCCGTTTCCACACGTGAAATACACAGCAGTGTTTGTGTGCCCTTCAGGTTTGTTACAGGGCTTGGATGAGGCAGCTCATAGTGTGGCTATTACGTAATTATGAAGATTAAGCATTGCAGGAGAGCACTCCAAAGGGAAGAACCAACAATCCTGGTTGCACGTTATCCTGTCTTGAGGAATAAACGTTGGCATCACAGTAAATTTTCCGTTCTGTACTGTTCAGATTCCCACCTTTTGAAGCATTGCACTTTTTTCACGATGGCTCTAATGGGAGCAGCACAGGGATGTAATTGTATCACGGCAAAGAGGAGGGGGGGAAGAGCCTTACTGAGTCTCTGGCACAGTGTGTTTTATATTTCCTTTCTATGGGGGGAGCTAATCACAGATTTTCATGCTCTTCACTGAGCCCATGGGCACCATCTCATTGGGGTGGTGTTTTTTTCTCCACAAAGATCACTGTTGTAACGAAGCCATCAGTTGTCAGAGGCACATTTCTCATCTTACAACTTGTTTTTGGCTCAGATTAAGAGGCATTGTATTCCAAGTTAATGTTTGTGTATTCTCTTTTCAGTGTGCAAGGAGCCCCCGTACAAAGTGGAGGAGTCTGGCTACGCAGGCTTCATTATGCCCATTGAAGTGTACTTCAGAAATAAGGTAGAATCTGATTTCTGGTCTTGTAATTGTTTTGAGCTGTGCCAGAGACTGAAACTGCCTGACAGAAAGACTCTAAATTATGTGACTGTTTTATGTGTGTGTTTTTTATTACACTAATAAATAGAATTTAACTGGGAGTTGGAACCTCCTGCCAGACTTCAAAAGAAAGCTTTTGGCAGAAATGGGATTGTATAGAAAGGTGATATCAGGACAGCCTGATGGCCCTGGAGATTCTGCACAGATATTGTGCCACTTGTGGCAGCCTTCTCTACTATGGATAACATTAAACCCATTTAAAATAGGTTTTGCAAATGTGTAAGTAAATCAGTGTAAAACAATAACTCTTAAACATTTGGAATTGCTGTGTTGGCTGGCAGTATATTTAAAAATTAATTAATTTTTTGCAGGTTTATTTTAATAGCCGTATAGGTATAAAATTTACGTGGGCCTGAGTCAAAGACTTGCATTTGTGGAGCAGGTATTTAAAGCTGTGTTAAAAATGCTGTCATTTTGATCCAGTGCTCTTCCAAAAAAGAAAACACAAAACGGTTTAAATCTTAAGATGCACTGCCAACAAATGAGTGTTAAAATTTGGGATTTATTACTTGCTTTAAGTCTTACCACAGAGGTCACGTGCTACACGACTTGAAGAAGGTTAAGAAAACAGAGATTTGGACACTTGCATTTGTATTAACTCAGTTTCAGTTGAATTGTTTTGTTAAGCAGGGATACAGAATCTTTCTGGTTTTGATTACTACTTCAAAAAAAAAGAGGGGGGGGGGGGGGGGAGAGGGAGGGAAAATGTTCTGCTTATTATTCCTGGGAGGGAACTTAGATAAATGAAATGTTAAAGCTTGAAGCTACCTCACAGTAATGTGTGCTCTCCCCCCCACCCCTTCAACACTAAGCACATGACCCCAGGTTGGCTGTGCAGAGGACCATTTATTATGACCTAATTCTATTTAGCTTCAGCATCTTTTCCACTGTACCTCCCACAAACGTGGCTGTTGTTCCCTTCTTACCCTAACTGAGCACACTGTTCTCCTGGTGGTGTCAGTTTTGAATCATCAGCATTTTAGGGTGGTTTTTTTTTCACTTGCCACATTGATTTGCCTTACTTTCAGTCCGAGTTAGTAATATGCCAAATAATGAGATTGAGGAACTGGGACAAGAATTCCTTGCTTACAGCTTGGTTTTGGGTGGGTGGGGTAGGCCTCAAGGACTGGGCAGTTCAAGGATAGGGGATGAAAGCTGTTGGTAGAACAGCTCTTTTGCTAAGCACTGAAAACTGACTTGAATGCACAAAACCGAAAAGCAAACAAAAAAGAACACCAAAAAATGCGCCTACCTGGAAAGCTAGGAGCAGTTTGACTTCTGTTGGCATCTCTGAGGTTTTGGTTGGCAATCAGGAAACTCTTTGCCTCTCTGTGTTTGACGTTGGCTCAGTTTAGGTTCAAAATCTGCCTTTACATTCCTGACCAAAACATCTGAGTTTCCCTATGCTAATTGCTTGTACCCATTGCTACGGGTGAGATGTTTTGTTCTGCCTTTTTTTTTCTCTTCTTTTCTTCACCCAGTCTGTTCTCATGCCTGTCTCCTGTGGCTTTCTTTCACTTCTCAGATCCTCCTCTCTCATTTCTGCCTCTCCTGTATCTCTTTGTAGGTGCCCTTGTTTGCATTGTCTCCATCTGTATGCTTTCTTTCTCTCCATTCCTTGTATGCTCCTTACTGAACACAGGACTGGCAGCTTATTTGAGCATAACTTGGTTTTGCACCCAAATCATCACTTCTCATTGCTCCTGTTAACACATCACCTCATAGTTGTTCTTTGTAGCATCAGGGATGTGATGGCTTTTATACATAAGGGAAATAGAAGCCTCTGTCCTTGGTGGAAACAGTGGAAGTAGTACTTAATTTGGGAGAAGGTGGTTGGCTTTTGGCATTTCAGTCTTCAGAAGCACGAGAAATAAGTAGAAAAACTGTTAGTTGTGAAATGCTCATCAAAAACACAGCAAAGGTGTGTGTATTGTGGAGAAATTCTTCTTCACTCTGAGTTGTTTAATTGACTAATGAAGGAGTTCTGTCAGCATTGTATGAGGAAGAATGTGATAGCTGCAGTCTTCCAGTGCTTTATTTGAGCAGAGACCAATTTCCAGGCTCAGCTCTGAGCTTGAGACATGTGAGCTATGCTGAAGTCGTTTAAAATTTGCTTTTATTGCTTAGCAGTGATTTTTCCATCTTTATGTCAGCAAATGTTGTATTCTCTGCCCATTTGGAGGCCAAGCTTGGTCCGTATGGGTGCTGGAAATTCAGAAGCTGCCCACTGAGGAGAATTGGGCTTGTCGGGTGTTCAGTGCTGAGACTGTCCCAAATATGAAGAGTTCTGTGGTTATTTCCAGTGCTTGGGGCTCAAGGAAATGTAAGAGGTGAAAGACAGAAATGCAAAGGCTGGGATGTAGTAGAAGTTAAAACTCATGGATAAGAAGAGAAGGATGAATGGTGAAGGCTTAGAAGGCAGTCTTATTTTCTCCTTCATTGAAGAATGTGACATTCAAGCACCAAATAAATAAGTATTTCCTACTTAACGACCATATGTTCACTCTGATCTCTGTAAACCTGTTGACACTGGTGGGGATCAGCTGTTACGTGGGGAGCATATATTGTTCTGGATTGATGACAGCACTTTGCAGCGTTTGGGACTCATCCTTGAATTGGTCTTTTCACAGAGATATTATGGATTAATTTGGGGATGGGATGAAAGGGCAGTTTTGGAACTGGCTGCCTGGGATGAGCAGGGTGGCTCTTTGTGGCCATATGCTCCCTACATTCTAGCACTTTTTGTTGATTGAAGTGTATCCTCTCAGTTGAAACAAGAGCTGTAAAGGCTTTGGGATTTGTTTATCGATGCATGTTTGGCTTTGTAAAGGTGAGAGGGAAAAGGATTTGAAGTGGGAGTGAAGTAATCTTGGAAGGCTGATCTTTGCCATGGTTGGCTGGAACTTTTTTTCCCCAGTTGAAGCCTCCTTTCTTAGCAGTTTCCTCTCTCTGTTCTAATTTGTTACTGGGATGATAAATAGTGGCTGTCAGAGCCAACGTGCTCTTTGCTTTGGCTGATGAAAATGGGCCTGCTCACTGCTAAGAAACTGGTTTACGAAGAATGGCTTCAGTGTGTTTTTAATGAATCTCATCAGGGATTTTTCTAGGCAAGTCTGCCTAAAGCTGCCCACCAGCTCCTCTGTGCAGAGACCTTTCTGTGCCTGCTCAGAATTCTTTGGAGCTCAGTGGTGCTCTTGGTCCTACTGGGGCTTTTGATTCCTCCCCATCAGACAGAAAAGTGCCAGTAGAGCGTTAAGAAAGACTCAAGAGCCAGTTCTTGTCCTACATAAACACAGTTATGCCTTTGCCTTGTTGGCATGCACTTGTCCTGTGCTGTCATTTAGTTCTTCATGAGGTGTTCTCTCAGTCGTGTCCTCTGAATCTCGGAATGTACATATCTTGAATATTGCTATAAACATGGAGGGCTCGTGTCTGACTTCTGGAGAGCCCAGGAGCCGATGCTGGGAGCTTTGCAGTCCCATTCGGTGCTGCTGGCAGCTGTAGCCCTGCAGCTGAACCTGAACAATAAATGTCAGGAGCTCAGCAGGTTAAATAATAAAGCTTCTGGAAACGCTGTTGACTAATGATACTGGATCATCTGGGAACTTTGGGACTGAAACTGTTAGTGTGTTATTTCTATTTTTAAGTCCTTTGTGTTCCTTCCTGTAACGAGGGCTGCTGCAAGTGGCTTCTGGTGCTTGAATCAATACAAACTGGGTACAACAAATGTGGTGCTGTTTTTCTAATACTCCTCCCCACCCCGTTTCAGCAGTCCTGATTCTTCTTTCTTGGCATCCTTGTCTCCAGATCTGTGTCTTGCAGTGGCACACACTTTAATCTGGAGGCTGTAGTAGTACAGGTATGACTTCAGCTTCAGTTACATTTTTGCATCCTAATGAAATAGGTCAGTTCACTACCTTCATGTTATCCTGATGTAAGGCAGGCTGTCCTAATGCAGCATGGACATGGTGTTGTATTAAGACACTGCCTCCCAGTTTCATTATAAGAGATAAAAGGCTTCCAGTATTTACATAGTGTAGTACCTGTGATGTAGGTTTTTCTATGAGTGAAAAGGGAGAGATATGAAGAAGGCATGGGAATCAGTTTGAATCTTCCAGTGAGGTTCAAAATAAAAACATATGTTTTGCTCCTTTCTGCAGTAGTTATAGAAGTGTTATATAAATGCATGCACAAATGATCCTATCTTTCAAGTTGGAACTCAGTGAGAACACTGTATGTGGGTACGTGTGGCAAGAGGGGTGAAACCAAAGAGCAGCTGGAGCTAAAGATGTGCTGTGTTAGCTGGAGGAGTGCTCCTAAGGAAGGTGCTGGAAGGTCTGTATTGATGCAGGGCATTTGTTTTACCCAACAGATGGCTGTGTTCCTGGGCAGGGTCTGTGCAGGTCTGAGAAGGGTGCATTTCACCTCTCACAGTTTGCTTGCTGTTCTGAAAGTTGTGCAGGGAGTAAAACTGGATGTTGTCTGTGCTGTAAGTGCAAGCATTTGTTGCTCACATTTCTGAGGTCTGTTCTGTATGACCTGACCTACCAAACCCGCAGTGCTCAGTGTGCTGCTGAGCAGTGAATCTTTTTTTTGCTTGTTTCTGTCCTAAATCCATACGCATTATCCATATCTGTCCTTCCCTCTGCCCTGGCTGAAAGACCTGTGCTGTGTCTGATGGAGAGGTGGCAGGCAGTGCCTGGCAAGGGAGCATTGTCAAGCAGCAGCCAGCATCATATTGTGGGTTTGTGAGAGATGATGGAATGCTTCTATTTGAGCAGAGAGATCGTTTTCTTCACATTAAAAGACAGCAAAAGGCTTTGAACAGGAGCTGCTGCAAAATGCTGTTCAGTTATTTCACTAGACCCTATAGAATCTCAACAAAGATCAGGGTGCCGTGTGAGCAGGGTGTAACATAAGGCTGCTTGCTTTAGAAGTATATATTGCCCTATTCACTTTAAGTGCTCTGCAGCAGGATGCAGGGCAGTCCTGAGGGTGGGTGGGTGGGTGGGTGTGGAAGCGGGGCTCATTTATATGGCATTACCAACCAGGTCCAGCTGAATGGCCCCATTGGGCTGGATCTGTGGCAGAAGGGAAGTGCTGCTGGATGTTATGGTTATTGAATAACCATGAGGCTGCTTCCTTGGTGTGCTAGATTTTTGTAGATAATTTTGTTTTATGGCTTTCTAAAAGTGATTTATGAACTGTATGTGCATGCTACCAGTGAAATCCTTTCGATTTGTGTTCAGTGGCAAAGGGCACACCCTGCCTGAAAAACAGGACGAGGAAATTTTAACAAAAGACTTTGAAAAATTCCTGCTCTTACGAACAGTGCCAGAAGAACTTTAACCCATTGCTTCAGAACTCGAAAGAAAAACAAAGCAACTCCACCGTTTGGAACTGCAGCAGCTGTCAGTGCAGGCAGGAAGCTGGAAGTAGTGAAAATAAAGCATAACAGGCTCAGGTTTGGGGGTCGGTGGTGGGGCAGGCAGAGCTCACACACGCAGTTTGGCACTGGCTGGGCCCTAATGTGATGGCACACACGTCTGCTTTACCTCTCACAGCTGAGGTTTAAGGGATAGATGTGAACTGGATGTAAGGCTTATTCTCAGGTTTTTCTCACAGGGAAGGAAAATGCCCACAAAAAGTGTCTCTCTCTTTTTGGTTTTGCTCAGCAGAAGCAAGGCTCAAATATGGGAAGGTGGAATACTGTCAGAGCAAAGCTTGTCTCTGCTCTGTGGATGCTACTCAGTCAGTCAGGAGTAGATGAGTGGTGCTGCTGTGTGAAAACTGCCTGGAGAATGTGTAAATCCCAACATCTTATTCAGAAAGATTCCAAAGTGTGGCTTTCTGTTAGAGGATATGTAGGTCCAGATCAATTGGCTTTCTTCTTTCTTTCTTCCCCCACACCTCCTGCTCTTAATGGTTGTTTAGAAGGGAAAACCTTTTAGGGAAGACCGGATGGGTTAAGCTTTGGAGTGCTGTGAGCTGTAATCATTAGCAGCCCAGTGAAGGCAGTAAAGGGTGTTTATTTGCAGCTTTTAGCTTTGAGACTTTTGTACTCCTCCTTTTAGGAGTGCTGTAAGCTCAACTATTCACTTGGATGAGGTCTTCTGATGTCCTGAGCTGATACAAAGGATATTTTAATGGTGGTGGCACTTGTCTGGGACTTGGTTCCCAGATGGGTCATCAGGTGAGAGCTGGAGAAAGAAGTGTTTAAAAGCTGTCTTAATTTTACAAAAAAAAATAATAATAATTAAGGGGAAAAAAACCAAACAGCTCATCACAGAGATCTGGTAAATATTTGGGAGGTTCTGTGAGAGCCTGTGTAAAAAAAAAAAAAGAATACCTGAGACAAAAGGGAAGTGAATCTTCCCTTTTTCTGTCCTGCTCTGAAAGCAAAGGGGCAAAATGACAAAGCAGAGCTCTGACTGTGTGCCATAAGGGCCTTTGACCAAAGCCTGCTTTTGCTAATGCATCCGAGATCAATTGATTCCATGTTGTAAACTAGGAAAAGCATTTTAGAAACAATTCCTAGGCCACATTTGGATTACTGTTCATCCTTCATTTAAGTTTATTAGACTTTGAGGGACCCTCTACAGCTGCTGTTTTAAATCCAGCATAGGCACACACATGCCGAGCTCGCTAATGATTTGGTTAATGAGGACAGTTTTTGTAGCAAAGAGGAAAATGACGAGGGGGGTTTTCTTCCCATTCCTATGTTGTGGCAGACACTGAATGCTTTCAGGTGGGACTGGGTTCCTCAGGACCTTCCCAGGAGATGTTCTGCAGACCCTTGTGTCGGTAGCATGCTCTTATTTGTTAATTTGAGACTTTTTTATTGCGTGTGGCCGCTTAGATGTCTGCCTTCCCCTGTCTGGGGAGACCTTAACTCCCAGGTGGGCTTACAGTGCTGACTTTGATGTAAACCAGGTGTGGTAACAGCACTTTTCATTATTAGGAGAATAGTTTGTACAAGCGGTGGCTTATTTAGCGATGCTGGCATCCCGTAAGCAAGCAGCAGGAATCAGTGTGGTCTGAAGCTGTTTGTTGCTTCAACCTATTTTCAGCAAATCTAATGGCTCGGGCTGGAAGCCTGCGGCATCTGTTCCCATCCAACAATGCAGCAACACCAGGAAATCAAGCTGCTGGATATGAATTGTGGAAAAGACTGCTGTGCAGCTGCTTGATGTTGCGCATTGAATGGGGCATATGGGATGCATTCATGTAAATACTGAATGTACTGTAACAGGAGAGTCGATTTTGCCACCGTGGAGTTTTCATCTTGAAATGCAGAATGCAAGGCCAGGAAACGGCATATCGATATTTTGCAGTGCAGAAACAGCACAAAAGATTTGACACTGGGGGAATGGGAGTGAAGGGATTTCCAGTTTGTGTACGGCCAGTGCACAGTTTGTGCTTCTGCAGCAGGTGGAGCAGAACCAGCGAGGCACACAGGATCCCCAGCGTACACACAGCTCAGGATTGCTTCGGTGGAAGTGCCCTTGGAAAGTTCAAAAGGCACGGATAGCTCCCATTCAACCCCTGCAATATGCATACTGAGTAGGGTTTTACCATATGAGTCATCCTTTTACCATTGTGTTTCATCTTGCCTCCGTAGCCACGGAGATCCTGCAAGTTCAGAAGTTCTAAATAAAGGGTTATGGGTTTTTTCATATTGATAGCTGTAGTTCAATTGCTTCCTGGAGGAGCTGCATTTGATTAAAAACAGAGCAGCAGATAAAAGTTGTGAAGTTGCTTTCCTAGAAGGACTTAATGCCTTCAGACAGCACATTGCAGTCGCTGTCCTTCTCTGTGAGTTTCTTTTGCAGCAGAAGCAGTGCCCAAGCTGCTGGTGGAAGGTATGTTAGCTCAAGCTGGAGGTGCAAGCTGTTTATTTTCCAGCCTTGGAAAGTGCTCTGATCTCATGATGAAAAACGATGAATGCACCACTTATTCAGTGGTTTATTTGGGATTCTCTGGAGTGACTGTCTGCATCCTCTGACTCAGGGTGCTTGCCAAACGTCTTCCTTTTTCCCAAAGTCTGTCTTGTTTTTAGGAGGAGCCGAAAAAGGTTTGTTTCACATATGACCTGTTTTTAAACTTGGAGGGAAATCCACCAGTGAACCACCTGCGTTGTGAGAAACTGACTTTCAACAACCCCACCAAGGAATTCAGACGCAAACTTATTAAGGCTGGAGGGGTAAGTGCCAAAGGGATCAGAGAGCTGAAGAGGTGCTGTTCAGATGTGTGGGGATTTAGTTTTGTTCCGAGATTTCTTTCTCCTTGCATGCAGCCCAGTAAGCTGCAGCTCTCTACATTTGTTGAAAGGACCCTGCCAGCTTTCACTGCTGGCGATGTGAGTGCAGCGCTAGAAGCAAAACTAAGCCGTTGCTTGTGTGATTAGTGGTGCTTTATTTTCAATTAAAATGTGACTGTTAACGTCAAAACAATGAGACCCCCTCTGGAAATGGAGATCTGTGGACGCTGCGTGTTGTCTGGTGGGCAGTCAGGGTTATCTGTGACCTTCCAGTGTCATGAGATGCATCTGGATAGAAGAGCTCGAGGAAGAGAGAGGCTTCCAGTGTATTTTTACTCCTCTTGGCCCCGGGAAAGCTTAATAGATAGCATTTCTTGGTCAGTGAATGTCCTTTAAAACTGGGTTTGGCTGCCTGTGACTTAGCTAATAAAAAATTAATGGAAAATACTGGAACTTAGAGGAAAAATGGGTGTGGGAAGGAAGGAAAAAAAAAAAAAAGCTGTACTCTTGAAGGCACAATAAGGATGTGAGTTCCAACATACAGTTGTTGGATAAACTGTTACTTCTGGGAAATTAATATGCAGTGATAGACTAAAGAAATTATCCTGAAATAGGCAAATGAGTACAAGCCAGCCATGTAGTACATGAAGTTTTAAAACACAGACATTGTCATGGCTGTCCTGAGACACCCTCATGTATAATAATGTATGATTCTGGTTTCTTTAAGGACTTTATTCAGGATGGTCCCCATGGCTGGCCGAGTTTTCTTTGTAAAAGCATCTTTCTAGCCTGAAGAATAAAAAATATATATAAGTTTCAGTAATAAATCTCAGGAGTAGCAAGTACTCCAAGCTATCTGTCCAGATCTTCCCCATAGAGGAACATAGAGGAGATAAGAAGGGATGCTGTTTTGTGCAGGTCAGCACTTGGTCTTAAGGTCCTGTCAAGGGAAGTCCCCAAAGTCTGCTGGTGTTTGTTTGTTTTTTAATGAGGGAAGTTTTGCTCCTTCCTTCCAGATTTCCTTTGATCCCTGTTTGCAAAGTAAGAGCATTTGCAGCAGAAAACACAGTTTCTGTCTTTATGCTCAGAATATTGGAGTTTCCTTTAGGAAAGGTGCTTGATATTGCCTACTGTTTTTTATTCTTGATATTTCAAGAGTTGCCTTAAGACTGAGCATCTGGAACTGTCCAGACAATAACTTCTGCAGTCTCTAAGGTAGAAAAAATAAGCATATAAAAGATGAACAGCAGTGGGGAGGTAACTTGGTATAATCATGTGTTAATAGTCTGCTCAGCTTCACTCATCCCTGTTTTTCCTCTTCTTTACTACTAGGTGATGGTAATGCCAGAGGGAGCAGAAACTGTTTCAAGGCCAAGTCCCGATTATCCCATGTTACCCACAATACCACTCTCTGCCTTCTCTGATCCCAAGAAGACCAAACCATCCCATGGGTCAAAGGTCAGTGAAACCTGCTTTTGTTGCCTTGAGCTGAAAAAGTCTTTCACAACGAGCTAATAAGTGTTTGTTCAGCAGCTGTTTCTAGCTGGTTCTGGTTCTGAAAAGCTTTCCCTTGTGCTTTCTAGTTCAGTCCTGGGGTGATCTATATTGTTCTCATTTCACTGCAGCTTTTTCCAAGTAAGAGCTCCTGTTTTCCAAGGGACAAGGGTGATTTTCTCCCATAGTGCCTGGTATGATGCTGTTTTCCCAGTAATTAAAAGGAGGTGGAGTCATCAATGACAGAGGTTGTCACCCTGTGTAAGCCTGAAATAAGAACATCCATCAAAGAGTTCAGAACTTCTTTTCTTAATATTATTTAATACCAGAGTAACGCAGTGAAGACAGCTTTGGAAATCTGTACATAAATGTGTCACTCAGTTCCAAACCAGTTAATGGACTGGAACTTACAGTGTCAGCTGCATCAGTCCTTTATTTGCCCTCTGAACTTAAGGAAACCTTTTTATGATTTGGTAGGTTTATCTAAAGAGAAGTTTAGGGGAAAAAAAAAAAAAATACTTCAATTGGACAGGGAGGTCTTGGTGAGCTGTATCTTCCTACTGAAGTGCAGTAGCAGATTGAGTTGTACTGACTGATTTCTGGTTGTTTAGAGTTGTCCTTAATGCTGAAGATGAGCTGTGTGGCTCTTCCATCAGTTCTGTAGGTCTGTGGGCTTTCAGTCTCACAGCAGGCTGATCAGACACTCAGCACTTTCTCTGTCATTAGAACTACTTGGCATCATGGTGTAAAAAGCATCAAGAGTGCCATGTTTGGCCCAGCTGGTGATTTCAGGATTCTATGTTTGCCTCAGCAGTTTGTAGCTCCTGAGAGGTTCAGGAGAAGCTTAAGCTTTCTTTGTCACTTGTGTAATAAGGCTGCTTTTGTGTAATTCTATGCAGGAGTGTGAATCCACAGGCAGTGTGCTCTGAAGCTGATTACATACCCTTTATCAGTCCCAAATATTAGCAGCAATACATTTTGTGGTGTAATACCATTCTGATACCCGCTTTCTTCAAGGCTGTGAACACTCCTGGCACTTCGAGCATGCCTTCTGATGTTGACATTATGAAACAGAATAAAGATGACTTAGCTACTAGCGCCTGATTTAATTTTGGTCAGGGATTACACATTAGAAAATGGAGAAGACAAAAGAGAAATAAAAGGCTCTGACACTGTCAATGGTTTACAGGCTGGTTTGTCCTGATTCTGTGACTAATGGGGCAGGAGGACCCATGGACCCACCCCCGGGGAAGGGGGCAGGGGGAAAAGGGGAAAGGACAGTGAGATGGGAGATGGGCCTGAAAGCAAAACAGCAGCAACGATCTGAGGAGGAAAGGAGGAATTTACTAAATAAGATGTCGGGATGCAAGTTGACACAATATAATGCAATATAATAAGTATTGAGGCTAACAAATAAAATGAGAGCATCCCAGAACCAAAGGCCTTACTGTAATGCTGAAGGCAGACAGGTAGGGAGGAGCACACGACTGCAGAGATTAGTAGAAAGGGAAAAAGGAGATGGCTTGTGAGTGCAAACAGTTCTATCTTTCCCTCTGAACAGAAAACGGAAACAGAACAGTGCAAAGTCCTCTGGGATGTGTAGTAGTTCTCTTCTGAGACAGGTATGCCCAGAACTACCAACAATCTGGAGATGGAGCATTAACTCTTTAACTCCCAGTGCTCTACATGATGTTATGGTGTGGAATACCAATAACAAAAACCATAAAACCTTGACAGACAGAAGCTCAGTTGAGAATTGCCAGTAGCTACAGCCTGTAAGTCTGCTCTTCCAGACTGCCCTCTGAGGTGACCTCAGATGTTAACCCTGCAGGTTAACTCTGTGTCATCCTTCCGTAGCCCATGGTTAGGAACAGGTGTTGGTGAAATGTTTCACCCTGTGCTGGGGCAGATGTTTGTCTGCTGTCATTTTTTGCCCAAAAACTTGGGAGCAGCCTGAATGTCTGCCTCAGATGTTTATGAGTACGTTTGCTATCAGTGGGTGTACATGAAACAAATGCTTTAGTGTGATACATGAGAATGAAATTCTGCGCAGAATAAAAAAACAATTTCATACTAAGCTTGCGTATTTCTGCTGGTAAATCTTAGGATGCCAACAAGGAAAGCAGCAAGGCATCCAAGCCACACAAAGTAACCAAGGAGCACAGAGAGAGGCCAAGGAAAGACTCTGAGAGCAAAAACTCCTCCAAAGACCTTGAAAGAGAACAAAACAAACCTTTGAAGGACTCCTCCAGAAAACCAACAGAGAACAAACTGCCTAAGGAGGAGAAGGCACCTCCAAAAGCTGCTTTCAAGGAACCAAAACTGGCTGTGAAGGAGACCAAACTGGAGAACACCTCTCCAAAGGGTGGGCCACAGCCAGAGCTGAAGTCTTCCAGCAAGAGGCCTTCCAACGTGGAGTCACCAAAGCCCAGTGCCAAAAAACAAAAAAAGAGCAGCTCCAAAGGGGTAAAGAATATCCTGGGGACATCTCCCAGAACCTCGTCTTCCTCGTATCCAGAGAAGAAACAAACCAAGGAGAAGATGAATGCCAAAGTGGAAAAGGTAAAATCTGAAAGCGAGGCCAAGGAGATCAAAAAGCCTGTGGAAATGGAGGAGTCAAATTCAGAGGATGAGAATTCTTTCAAATCAGAGGTGAGTACAGATCGGTTCCTTATGATAATACAATGTTTTTGAATCTGATCTGAGTCCATCAATGGAGCAAACAATTTCACTTCTGCTTTCTTCTTTTCAGAAACAGCATAAAAAATGTACAGAACTCTTCCTGCCGTAGCCTGTAAGCAGTGTTATTGGCTAGAGCTCAAATTACAACCACGTGCCATTAAATCTAAATAACTTGTGTTGTAAAACAAACCAAATTATGTTATTCTACTACTATTTTAAAAAGCTGTCTAAATATTTTTTTCCTCTTTACAACGAAGAACATTCCTCACCCTCTGTCTTCAGAAAATTGTTTTCCCAAAGAAGGCAAAAAATAGGAGGGGAAGGACACGACCAGGTCCAGACAGACTGCTTCTCTTGTGTGCTTTTTATTTACTATAAAGAGGCTATATATCTTCTAATAGGATTCCTGGGTTTGTATCACAAGGCTTTTTGAACTGCTTACTACTTTGAGAAAGGTTGGTTTTACTCGAGTGAATTTGCTGGGGATGATTTGCATTGTGGTTTAATCAGCACTGTGGGGCAGTAAGCATGGATGTGTTTATTTGAGAAACAGTTTTCACAGCAAATTTCCAGTAGAGGAGTTTGTTAGGGAAGTGCTAATTAAAGATAATCTGCAAAGATTTTTCCAGTTCAAGTGTGAATTTAGGGGATTAGAAAGAAACTGCTTCTCTCCATTTAAAGCTTTGTAACCAAAGTGCAGCAGTGTGTGCTAAGCCCTTTATTTCTGCAGAAGATACATGGCCCACTCTGCAAGATTCAGTTCTCTGCCAGTCTCTGAGCCCTGAAAGTTGTGTACTTGGTTATTTCTTAGGTGTCATCCCTTGGGGCTCAGCCCACAGCTGTAAACTGGTAGTGTGTTAAGGCTGCTCTGTGAAACCACAGCCCATGTTTGTGTCTGCTGCAGCCCTGCCCTGTGCCCCCACGCTTTGCATGCGTCTGTCCTCCCCTGCACCAGCTCTGCTGTCTGCTGGATGCTTTGCAGAGCCCTTGGAGAGCGTGAGCCCAGGAGGAGAAGAATGCTCAGGGAGTTGGAGGGCAAAGTGTGGCAGCTGCCAGTCGGACCAGCTTGGGTTTCTGTGGAATGTGAAGCATGGGGATCTAACTGCATAATGCATTGGCATCAGCAGCAGAGAAAGCTGCTGGAGTTCTTTTTCCATCCTGGGGGGCTCTTTTTGCTCCCAAGGCTGCAGTTTGCTGCTCCGTGGTTTGTGCTGGTACAGCTGTTTGTGGATCTGTGTGGTAAGCCACATCACTAAAGTGAGTGAGCAGCTGGAGGTGGACCGGGGCCCGGAAACTCTTAAATCAGCTTTGCTGCTGAAGCCAACACATTGTGCAACGTGCTCTGGGGCTGCAGCTCCTCACTGCTCTGAGCTGACATCTTCGCAGGCTGCTGCTGAAAGGAACAGCCTTGCTCTCATTTGTGCTGCTGGCATGCGAATTCGTGTGACTGCAGAGGGCTGGAGGAGTTCCTCCTTCCATTTCAGCCCCGCTGAAAGTTGGTTGTGCCTTTCTATGTATTTGATTTTTTTCCATCAAGACCAGTTCCCTGATGTGGCCTCGTGCTTGGCTGCCTAAATGCTGGTGCTGACAAAAGGGAGAGGCTGAGACGTGAGAGCAGGATTGCTTCTTTCCTTTGTTGGTGTGTGCTTCGTGCTGTCGTGGTGAGCTGGTTGGGCTGGGTGCCTTGGACGGCTGCAATGGGGGTAAAGCAGAAGGAGGAAGGGGCTGCCCAGTCCCTGCTTGCTGCTTCTCAAGTCCTGGTGGTCATTGCAGGGGAACACCTGCTAGGTTAGCAGGAATGAAGGCGATAGGATGGAATCTGAGGGTAGGACACGAGCACTGTGTTCTCTGATCTTATAAATAGTGCTCTTTACTTTGTGGTAATTTTTCTAAACAAATAAGACTGCCATGTGCCACTATGTCAGATAGTGGCATTAAATCATTCTGCTTTGCTGCCAGACTGTTGACAAGGGTGACACCCGTTTTTATGTCCCCCATCCACTCCTTTTCCTTTCTTAAAGCTGAGCAAATGCAACTCAAATCTTTGGGTGAAAAACTATAGGGAAGGACATTGCGGAGATGGAAATCCTTCTGCTGCTTGGACTTATTAGTGCCTGAAGCTGCTGATGTGCCTCTGCCTGCTGATGTATCATTATGAGAGCATTAAGGTGTTCTGTGACAAAGCTCATCCACCGGTGAGGATGTGAGGGTTATCTCTGCCATCAGGATTTGGTAGCAGAAATGATAGGTGGATTTCCAAGAATGGCACAACGAAATGGAAACATTAAATTTCCAGGGAATTACTCCTAAAAAAAAAAAACCCAAACCAGTGGGGTGGCACAGGAAGTCAAGAATCTTTATCCTCGATTGCAGAGACAAAAACCCTCTGGTTACTGCTGCAGTCACTGCTGCTGGGGAGGGAATAGTTATTTGCCTCCGCTGCCACCTCGTGGCCCTCATGGTGAAGCACCAGAAGGCTCTGCAGGTCCTGGTCTCGTGTTTAAAAACTTGGTACAGCATTAAAGCTTTGTTTCTGGATGCTGTCAGTAGTGCTGGTGCTTCGAGCTCTTTATTCACACTCACTGCAGTGTGGAGGGGCATCAGTGCTGCCTGCTGGGCTGGTTTCACAGGAGTTAGCTGATCTGTGCTGTCAGAATGAACTGGCAGCAATACAGTGCATCACTGAGATCAACATGGAAACAACTGTTTGGAGGACGTGGTAATGCACTGGAATGCCTTTCAAATCTTGGAGCTATGTGGGATGGGTCCCTTTCTGTGCTCAGTGGGTTAAAATCTGTGCAAATCCTGGGGGAAAACTGACACTGTAATGGTGGGGTGTACATCTGTCACCTTCTGCCATCGCTCTGAGGTGAGCAGCACAGAGGGTTTTGTTGGGAGCTGTTGGTGCCACAAATGTTGTTTTTGTGTATGTTGCACTTTGTGTATGCTCTGTAATTGTGTTTCAGTGATGTACAACGCTGTGTTTGTGTTCTGTGATGCTCCAGATTAGAAGGATTAAGATTCTTTTTCTTTTTTCCTTTTATGGGGGGTTAAGTCTGTCCAGTCCAGCCCTTCCAACTCCAGCTCCAGCTCCGACTCCAGCTCTGACTCCGACTTTGAGCCATCTCAGAACCACAGTCAAGGTGTGTTGCCACAACTGAAGTATGTTATAGTCTTCCCTGCATAAAGCTAAAAGGCTTTTGAAAATTAGACCTGCTCCCCAGCATCATACATCAGGCTCACGTGGTTTCTTCTATGGAAGTGTGTGTTGAAGCTGTGATGCTTCAGCAGAAGGCAGTAACGTCATAGTGTAAATATGAACAAGTATATTTCTTCTTTGGGCAGTCATTAATTATCAGGATTGGGCTCTTTCCCCCTCTGACTTTGCTTTCTGCCTCAGTGCGTGTTGCAAAATTAAAACAGCAGTGTTGTCTCCTCAAGAAATCTTGCTTGATGTTAATGATAACGAATCCAATCCGTGTCAGAGTTTGGCTGCAGTTCTGCTGCACGTCTCACGGACAGGTGCTGCAGCTCTCTCTCCCCTCTGCTCACAGGCCCGCTGCGCTCCATGGTGGAGGATCTGCAGTCAGAGGAGTCTGATGATGATGACAGCTCCTCGGGGGAAGAGGCAGCAGTCAAAGCAAACCCTGTCAGCCGGGATTCCAGGTGGTACCAAATCATGATGGATGTCTGCTGTCCCTTTGCCCTCTGTGTTTGGATTTTTGCTCGGAAAGTGGAAGCGATAGGGTTCTGTGTGATGGGAGAGTGACAGAGAAAGAGGCAACACAGATGTGCCGGTGAAAGCAGCGGGGTGAGAGCAGAAGTGGGTAAGGAGAGATCAGTGGAGCTCAAAGAGGAAACTGCTGCGAAGTGGTGTGTGGAGCTCGCAGGTGTGAGTGACTGAGCTCCTCAAAATAGTCACCTAATTGCCATCCTCAGATCTGTGCTGCACGGAATGGTGCGTGACAGCTTTCATCTGCAGAGATTAGAGGAGTGTTGTGGGTGCTGTCAGCGTGTGCCGCTCACACTGTGTGCTGCTGCTTCAGAACTGAGAGGTCTTCATCTCCACTGATGGTGCACACTGACAGTTGGTTACTTGGCTCCCACAAGACTTGTTTAGCAGCTGCTTCCTGCTTTAGTCAATGAAAATAGTTGAATTTTGTCCTTCTGCCCTCCGGAAGTACTGCTGTAGCCAAAACCTGGAGTCTTAGGCTGAGTATTTGAAGCCACATGCTTGGACAAGATAGCAGCTGCAGATTGCAAGTGATGTTTGTGTTCAACAACAACCAAAAAATCCTTTGTATTTTGCCATTATCAGCTAAATTATTATCAGGAAAGGAGATTTCTTTTAAAGGACAATTTTTATACTGTTGAGGGGGTGAGCAGTGGCTTTACCAACTCATCAAAAGTAGGATGCAGCTGTAGGGCAAAAGAAGAACGGGATTGAAGAGGAAATCTCAAAGGTCATCCCAGAAACACAAAATAGGTGATGTATTTTTTTTTACTATTCATCTGGGCAGTGTAGGGTTCAGTGAAAAGGAACAGAATTAGTGGGCATCATTCATTTCCCTTAGCTGTCACCCAAACCACATGGACTTAGGGAAGCTTCCCATTGCTTGTTGATGCTAATTCTGTACTACTTGTTTTTCAGACTGAGCCTTAGTGACAGTGACAGTGACAACAGTGCAGACTCCTGCCTGCCCAGTCGAGAGCCTCCCTCTGCTCAGAAGCTGCCCCCAGCAAATAATAAGGTATGGCAGCTGCATGCCCACACAGCACTGCTTCCTGCTCTGCGTTCAGGCCATGGTGTGAGCTCTGGGTAGCACCAGTGCTCCTCTGTTTCACTGGGAGGTAATTTCAGTGCTGTGCATACAGGCTGTGTAAGCAGCACATTGTCTGAACTCATGTTGGTCCCTGCTGTTGATTTGTGTTGCCCTCAGGCGTCTGGAAGAAAAAGCCCGGAGTCTTGTAACAAACCAGAGAAGATCTTGAAGAAGGGAACCTACGACAAGGTATGTGTGAAGATTTGCATATCGTGGTACTGCTGTGTAAAAAAACAACTGGAGGTGGCCTAGCTGGTTCAGATTGCTCAGTGCTGGCAAGTTAACAGCTAGAGTGTAATGATAAACAGATGTTGAAAGGATAAACGTGGGAGAGGGACACTATAGAAACTGTGTGCATTAGATTGGGACACCCCTGTGTCTTTTTCATGTGCAAAATGTTAAAATGGATTTATTTGTGTGACCCACTGGTGTGGCTGCCGCTGCAGTAGTGAGCATCTATTCATTACAAGGCAGTTTTCATCTGTCTTTGATCTTTAATTTTTAAGATCTTAAAAATCAAAGATTTGATTTTCTTTGGAGCTCTGCTTTGCTATTTTAGTTGAATTCTTTGTTGAGTGAAACTCCCTTCTTTCTTCCCTCCAGGGAAAGTCAAGCAGTGTGTCTGTATGCTGCTAAAGCATGCTAACTGCTAAACAAATACTCAAACCTCGAGTTGTCCAGGACGTTTTCCCTACGGTGATTTTTTTTTTTTTTTGTCCCATAAATCAAGCAGAAGCTTTAATACTTTTCTTTAATCTAATCATGGAGATCCTTAAACTAATCAGTCTGTAGCTCTTCCCCTTTTTTTAACACACTTCCAGCAGGAGAATAGATCACAGGATAAATGTTTAATGTTGGTTTAAGTGTGATATTGGAGGTGCTAATCTCCTGCTGGCTGCACAACCTTTACCACTGATACTGTTAATGTAGCTGAGATACCCTATCTGAGCAGAGCTCTGTAGGTAATGGTGTCTTTTATTAGACTACTTAATGCAGATAGAAGGGGACACCCTCGAGACCCATTGAAGGGAGAGGGCCTGAAATATCATCAGCTTTTACAGCTGCCAGTGCTTTTGTGAAGATATTAAGTCTCCTGGAAAGTGAAGCATTCAGTACTGCTGCAGTGTTTTGGGAGAAATGCTTTTCTGTGCATAGCTATGTTAGGGGGAAGCCATGTCTCACAGCTTTTTTTTCCCCCTGCCTTGGTACAATTACTTACATGAGTTCAATTTTGCTGATACAGACACGAACAACTCTGAGACTGCTTTAGAAATTAAGAATCCATCCCCTGTGAGCAGCAGGGGCTGCAGTGTTGAGATTAAAAATGAAAAAACAAAACCAACCAGTCTCTTATATAAGAGCAGTTAAAATGATGCTGAGCTCATAAACAATCCTGGGTTCCCCATTGTGTTGCACACAAACTAACAGGGAACACAGCACTCTGCAGCTGAACACTGCTGATTTCTGTGCATTGGTGCAGCTTTCCTCAGCAGTGAGTAGTTATTGGTGTGCCCTGCTGATGGAGAGCTGCACTGAGCTTCACCACAATGGAACTGAGCTCAGAGGTTCTGAGCAGAGGCTTTTTTTAATGAAGTAGCCAAGCTGGTGGTGTTCAGACATCTGTATCAGTGTGAAGTCTGTGGTCTCCCAGCACTTGATAGAGTAGAGGAAGCAGCACAAAGTGTAGGGTAAAATGGGTTAGGAACGTGTCTGAAAGAGCCTGGAGCTGCTCTGATCGCTTTGGCAGTCACACAAACATGCCACGTGTGTCACTATTTCTGTTCATGCCTCCTTTACAGGCCTACACTGATGAATTAGTGGAGCTTCACAGGCGACTCATGGCACTACGAGAGCGCAATGTGCTGCAGCAGGTAGAGATCATTGGTCAGCTTTCTGGCAAGGTGCTGTACTCTGATAAACTCCGTGTCCAAGGGTCTCAGGCAGACCCCTGTGATGCTTGGCCTTTCACTGCCTCTCCTTCTTGAGATGGTCTGGTTCACTTTAAATGCAGATCTGTAGAAAAAAAAATCAGGTGTGCATGCACTGCTTTTGTTGAAAAAGGCACAGAAGTGTGGATTGTGCATCTCCCTGTCGTTCTGATAGCTGTCCCAAAGCTGGGCTGTCTGATGTCAAAGGAAACGTGCCCAGGTCACTTCCCAGACTGAGTTAGAGCAGGAGAAGCTGCTTTGCTTTTCTGGGAGATTTTCTTGTTGTGAGAGGCACGTGGCTCTGAGGCTTTTCTAAAGGGATACAGAAAGGATAGGTGGGTTGCTTTGTATCTGCCAGTCCTTCTGGTGTGCTTAATCTTTATGGGCTCTCTCTATGTCGTTGCTCATCTCCTTTCTTTACAGATTGTAAATCTCATTGAGGAAACGGGGCATTTTAACGTTACCAACACAACTTTTGACTTTGACCTCTTCTCCCTGGATGAAACAACTGTTCGTAAGCTGCAGAGCTACCTGGAAGCAGTAGCAACATGACCTCGGCCTTGGAAGCAGGCTGCTTTTGAAACCAGAAATCCCCTTTATTGGTACCAGGAAACGAACCCATGGAACTAGGCCTTCTTATTCTCTCGATTCACCCGAAGCACTGCCTTAGAGAACAGCCATGCTCTATGAATGCACAGCCAGCTGCACTTTCTTGTAGGCTTCAAACAAGCACCCATATTGCTGAGTCTGTCCTCCCTAGCTTCCTACGTCCGCTTGGGCACAGGTCCTGAGTAGAGCAAAAGAACGGCTGCGCCCAACTGCAGCGCGGCCCTTCTGGTTTTATTCAAGAAACTGTTTGAAGAACATTTTCAGGCACCTCTGAGACCTGAAGAAGTGCGGGCAATGTTTTCCTCACCAAGTCTTTGGGACCAGCCTGCAGAGAGCTCCAGTCAGTCCGGTTTCCTTCAGCTCCGTGAAGAAGCATTCGTGCCGCGTTGGCTTTTACAAAGCTCGCCGGGAGGCTGCTGGTGACAGAGGAGGTTCTGGGAGTCTCGTTGGTCCGTCGTGGAGGAAAGCAGACAGATTCTGGTTTTGCTCACTCTGTGAGTTCTGTTGCAGTTGGGCACGGAGTGCTGCTGCCGTTCGGCTCGCGGTGGCTGCAGGGCTGTGCTCTGTTCCGGCTGCCTGCAGGGATGGTTTGTGCTCCCTGAAGAGGCCCTCTCCAATCTGCTGTGTCCCATTGGGGTTTGGAGACGTCTTTGTTTGTTGACCTGAGCTCCTAAACAAAGTCTCACTCCTTTCAGTCTGCTTTAACTGTAATAGGACTACAAAACTGTAAGCTGTATATTTTATATATATATTATATATATGTATGTACTGTATGTATAAGAAGGGCCTAGTTGGGTCTTATGATTTTAAGGGTGTGTTTTTCTGTTTTTTTTTTAATGGCTATGGCAGGGGAAGGGCGCTTAATAAGATTGACTTGTCTGTTAAAATGCCTCTTGTGGACAATTTTTAGTGTATGAAAGCTGAACAGCAATCTTCAAAGCGTTTTGTGCTCTGGAAGGGACTCACCTGTTGTCTTTTTCATTTGTCAGTGTTGAATAACTTTGCCAAAATACGTGATTGGTTTTGTTCTATGTTCTCAAAGAGGAATCTCCTACAGTGGCCCCTATAGTAGTGGCTGTACTTTGGGAAAACCAAAACAAGGGAGAATTTTATCTTGGGACGCACCTGGAAAACACTGATGTAACACCAAGTGAAATCAGGTTCCTTTCCTCCTCCTTTCTCCCCCTCACACCCGTGCAAGAAGTGGCAGTAAACACTAACCCAGAACCATTTGTGTATTTCTAGTTAAACTAGACCTCCAGGTGTCGTTTGTGTTCTGTGTGGGTATGGGGAAAGCCCTGTAGCTCTTATCAAAGCTGTATTACACTCCTGTTCCCTACATTCAGTATTTTTGGGGGAAGAATTACTACTTTTTTTCCAATCAGCATTGTAAGCTTTTGCCAAATGTTGGGTGGGCTGCTGGCAGTGAGGAGAGCAGCTCCTGAGGGGCCTCTGCTCTGTGCAGTGCTGTGCAGGGGCTGCGTGGCTCCAGGGTTTGCTGTCCCTTCTCAGTGATGAAATTGCAGTCCCTTGTTTTGGGTTCCCCCTTTCTTTATCATGGAAATGTTGCAACTAATCAACTGAAGTGGCAATATGATGATAAGCTTGTTTGAGTTGGGTCATGTTGACCCGATTCCCATTAATTTTGTCTTTGTACCATCTTTCATGTGTCTCGTGCGTGTGTATATACATATATATAAAAAGAAAAATAATCCAGCTCATGCCAGGTGCGTTCCCTATCACAGCAGTGATCTCAGCTGTTTTCTTTCCCAATGGACGATGCCAAGCCTGGATAGAAACCCTGTGTGCACAGTGAGAAGGTGGAGGACAGCAGGAAGAGGAGCTGCAGCTGCTGCTGAGATGTGCTGCGGTGGAGGATGGCAGATGTGGCTCACGAGTGTCCATGGATTTGCTTTGGGTGTGGTGGGTATTTTGAGCTCCTCCCGGTCCCCGTTGGGTCTGTGGCACAGAGGAAGCTGCTCCAGCCCCAACCTTGGCAGCACTCCCACCCTCATGCAGGGTGGGTTTGTGACACTGCCATCCCCCAAGCAGCAGAGCAGTGGTGACAGGCAGCCCAAGCCAAAGTGGTGATGTTCTCCCAAGGCCTTTGCCTGCTCTCTCCACGAGGTCTCCTCCTCCCGCAGCTGTTGCAGCCGTGCTCTCCGTCCTGGCAGCAATTTCTCCTGGCACTGTCAGTATCTGAGTCGCCGTCCTGCCCCCATCGCACACAGATCTGTCGTCATTGCTGCTGCCCACGGGGCCAAGAACACTGCAGTGGTGTTCCTGAGCCTGGCTGGAAGCACACGGGGCTTTTGCCCACAGCTGTGGCATCATCCTGCCCTGGAACCGACTTTATTTGTGAAGTCTGACGAGCATTGATGGGAATTTTGTTCGGTTTTTATAAGAAGTATTTTACACATGGATTTTTTTAGACTCTTTATAATCTCCTTGAAAACCCAAAATAGGATTGTTCCCCCAGCAATAGTTTTCCTCCATTGTGTGCACATGCTGATTTGTTACTAAAAGGTTTCTTGCAAGTACTTAGTTGTTCTACAGAGTTGTTGTTTTTTGGGGTATGTGGTAGCGTTGGGGACCACAGGAGGAACGACTCTGCAAACAAAGGATGGTCGAATTTGGGCCTCATCTTGTGTCCCCTCCTAGTTGCATATGGACGAGTTCCCTGTGTAGATTCTCTATAGGCTGGCTGAATGCTGTTCTGGACATGCCGTGTACAGGTATTTGTGGATAACGTGTTTGTTCTTGTGTCACTCTTGAGAGCATGGATGGATTATTGTTCAATAGGAAGGAGGTGGCAGTGCTGCTGTCAGCATTGCTTCAGGTCTTCGAGGATGTGTAGTAGCATTTGCATTGTTTAAAAAAGGAAAAAAATATATATATCCAAAATTGACTTCTAGCCATAACGGTTTTTCCATGGAAAGTGGACAGAACTCGGTTACTTTTGTGTCCTTCACCTCGACCCTGAAGGCACGGATAAGTGCTGATCAGTCTGAAGGCTTTCAGAGTTGCTTTGAATTGAATGGCGTTGGAGGTTAAGATCAGGACGCAGCTTTTCCTTTGTCCTTGGCCTTCGTATTAAAGGGCAAAAGAGGGGTTAGGAGAATTTTCCTGTTGTCTTGGTCTGGTATGTATTAAGCCTTGAGGCTTTGATAACTGACATTTACTATTAAAAAAGAAAGAAAACAAAAGGCAGTAAGGCTGGCTGGCTCCCTGAGCGCCGGCTGAGGAGTAGCGGACGCGTTGGTGACAAGACTGGCTGTGCTGTGGTCAGGCTGAATACGTGGAAGTGCAATGACTGCCACCAGTTCTCATAGTGCTGTGTGCTGTGCTAGCATCAGAACTAGCAGAGAAATGGATGCAACAATCCAGGAACAGTTTGTCAGATCTCAGTAGTGTTTGATGGTGAGAGGTTCCAACTCCTCTCCCGGAACTTGCCCCATCTGTTCTCACACCTTCCACTGCACTGGAGCACAGTTGGAGCTCCTCTGTCCCACCCCAGGTTCACCTCAGTGCTACAGCCATCCCACGTGGTACTTCTGAAAGATGAGAACTGCTCGGTGTTGCTGTCATGGGGGCACGAAATAGCCATCAAAAACTGAAGAGATGAGTTTGCACTCCTAAAGAAAAATGTAAGTACTTCAACTAGATGATTTTTAATTGTATTTCTGCCTAGAGGTATTAAATACCTTCTCACTTGAGGATTTTCAGAGTTGTGTTGGGAAATGAATTCTGCTCTCAGCTGTAAGAAGTTCAGCTGGCCCAAGACTAACTTCAAGATGAAAAAATAATCATGTTTGTAATACGTTACAGGATTGTTTGTCCTGAATTTTAAACCTTTTTGTTAAATTTGTGGAACTACGGAGGAATTTTCTAGAAAAAGTGAAATAAAGTAAGATGGAAAAGTACAACTTTCAGGGTTTTTTGTTCATTGCATTGCTTCTGCACGGCCACATCCGTGGTTACCTCCATGTTTTGAGTCAAAACACAGCAGCTGTGGTCTCAACCTTAGAACCAACCTTGTGCTTCTTGCAGCTCCTGAGTTGCTTCCACAGCTCCCAGGTGCTGCTGCTCCTGCTGGGGGCTGAGGGCCCAACTGAGCACAGTGGGGCAGAGCCTTCCTCCCCTGCAGGCTGTGAGCAGAGCCTGTTCCAGAGCTTAATTCCAGTGCTGGGTGCTCTGCTGGGAGCACATCCCCACACTTGCTAATTACTAAGAACTGTTCCCATGCAGTGGTGATACGGAAGGGTTGATTTGTACCTTTGTACCTCCGAGCTGAGCACTGTTGTACAAAAATTACCAAAGCATGAAGACACAAAGCACAGGGCATTTATTGGGCGTTGCTCTGAAAGCTGAGACATTTCCAACTCACACAGCTGAGAAACGGTTGCACAAGAAGAGCAGCTGTTCCCATAGTGCAGAACCACACTCCATGCAGGCACTTTGGGCACCTCACTGAGCTGTTTGCTGTGGCGCTGAGCCCAAATTAAATAGTTTTAAACATGAAACCTTCCCTGAGGTTCCCAGTTCTGAGTACTGCAAATGTTCTCTCACCACTGCAGGATTTGATGTGAACCAGAACTGCAGGAACAGAACCAACAACGTGCAAGCAGCAGTTTGCTGGAGTTCTGCATTATTTAATGGGGTTGTTGCTTTTTCCCTGTCTGCCACTTCCACTCAAAGCACACAACAGCAGCTCTGGGTGCTCCTGTTTTGTCCAGGGAAACAAGAGTCAGGACCAGCACACAACTTCTTCCACTTTCTTTTCAGATTGAGGATTTCTAGTTTGAAATAAGCCATTTTACAAACAGTCCTTCATTTGCTGAGGGCATCTGAAGGCCCTCCAGGCAGGGATAGACATGAACGAGCTTCACAGAACTACTGAGGAACTCAAGGAGCTGCTGTTCCCTGTGCTGTCTCCTCTAAACTTCTATATATATCAGCCACCACAGCCCCACAGCTCTGGAGTGGCACCTAAACAACGTTTCTATGATTGTAAGACTACAGACAGAGGTTACACAGGTGTACACAGCCTTTTCAAACAATCTAGTCCATGTATACTACTTAAACAATATAATTTATGGTTTCCTTATAACTCAAGAAGCTGAAACAGACTCCAAGTATTGCACAAACCCACCCAGTGAACTCTAGGTTCCACACAGACTTGCCAGGGTGTGCAGTCACACAGCATTGGCCTTACTTAACAGATGATGGTTTGTGGATAAAATGATATAATTCCCATGTCAGCAGCATGCAATTAAACATGCACCGAGGAAAACAAAACAGACTGCTCTAAAAGGAACTCTGCCTTCCCTACACAGCAGGAAAAAGGCAGATCCTGATTGTTTTACATTCAGCTTGGGAAAAGAAAACTTTGGTACAGACACGGTAAATGCATTGCCCTTATTAAAAAAAAAAAAAAGTAAAAATACAAATCAGAGACACACAGCAATCTCTCAGCACGCGAACATACACAGGAAAACGGGGTGTGAGCACACTGCAGTAATAGGGCCCATAAATGCACAGCTAAGCACCTCAGGAAGGCTGCGTGGTTGCTGAGTGTCATTTATTTCTGCAGAACCCTCTGAATCCGTTGCAGGGAGCCCAGGCTGACAGAATGCTGTGCACCAGGGGAAGTTTCCTACCACGTCACTGCCGCAGTGCGTGCTCTGATGCCGTCGGTGTGTTTGCATCCAGGTAGAACTCCTCAATCAGCTCTTTGTATTTCTGTGCCACTGCTGGTCTCTTCAGTTTCATTGTTGGGCCTGTGGAGAACACACAGCACGGGGATCTAACAGTGCCAGCACTACAGACAGCATCATTTTGGGACACAAATCGATGTCAGAGTTGAAGGAAGCCTGGAGGATCCAGAGCACGGGAACCAACATCGACTTCTAAATGCTGTTTGTGATTAATTGTGATTAATAACACCTCCACACCTCCCCCATGAACACAAACAGCACAACCACCCTGCAGCAGACAGCACAGCACCTAGGGCTGCTCAGCTCAGTGCTGTCAGGCAGAGCTGGAAGTCCAGGATAAGCCATCCTGCCCTCCCAAAGGCTGACACAGCACAGCCAGAGGGCTGCATGTTTCAGGCTCTCAGGTGGGACCACCTCCCTGCTCCCCCCCCACCACTCACCCAGCTCTCCACCACCGATAGAAAAGTCCTTCTGCAGAATGACCCACTTCTGAATTTTCTGAGCATTTGAGACAGCTTTCTTGTTGACTTCTGAAATTGCTCCCTGGATGGCTGCATAGATGGCCTTGTCTTTGCTGCTTGTGATTTCAGAGACTTTGGTAGCCTTGCTGCCCAGTTTTTGACAATATTCAATAGCTTCTGCAGTGAGGTCATCTCCCGGCTCCCCACTTTCCATATCTACAGTGCACTGCAACACAAGTTAGGAGAGGTCACTTGATGTTAAAAACCCCTTCACCCCAATAAGCCTTACGCCCACAGGAAGCTGCTGTGTCCCCTCTCCCACCTCAGCACCGACTGTCAGTCGGCCACTTTTTATATGCTTTATACAAGCTGCTGCTTCAAATGAAAGTTTGTTAAAACACCTTTATATCTCTACACATTCTACACAGCTATGTCAGCACCCAGGAGCAAGCAGGGCTCAGAACTCATGCTCCAAATCCTTCCCTTGCTATACAGACTTAAGCAAGACACTATCTTGCCCTCTTCTCTGGGCCAGAGGTTTACTTGCCTGCATCCCATAGCAGCACTGCATCCTGCTGGAAGTCAGCACTGCCCCTCACCCCAACAGCAGCACCATCACCAGAGCCTGGCTCAGCATCTCCGGCACAAGGGCAAGAAGGCTGGCAGCTGCAGCCTCACTAATGAGCAATTAACACTGTCCTGGAAAAACACTGGTCTATGAGGTCCCTCCAGCCCTAGACAGGGGCATCAGTACAGTCCACCCCCATGGCACTGTGGAGTTTAAAGCCATTGTTTTTAAAAAGAAATCGCTGACATCTCATTACTGCCTGAGCTGCTCTGGGAGATCCTGAAATTTAGGTAAGAAAAGCAGGTTTCTTTTTTCAGTTTGGCTGTTACATCTTAGTACTGTTTCTGCTCTCTGAGGTGGTACAGAGATAAAGTTGCCCTGAACAATGGAACGCTGTTGGCTGATCAGATGGCAAGTGCTCATTTTCCTCTACGGTACAAACAGTGTTTGCAACTCAGCTACAAACCACTGCATCACCCCCAGGCTCCAGCAGGCATTACAGAATATAAAAAAAAAAAATCACCTCACTGTACTAAAATAATCTGTGTCCTTTCAGCCCCATCCCTTGGTAGATGCCCATCCCATTTTCCATTCAGCAGGCACAATCAATCCCACCTTGAGTGTTAGAAGCATGGCAAGGAATTTTGCTTTGTCTCCAACCAACATGGCGTTGCTAATGATGGGACAGGCTTCTTTTACAGCATCCTCAATTGGAACAGGAGGAACGTTCTCACCTCCTGCTGTGATGATGAGCTCTGGAAAACAATCAGATCTTGATTATTGCTTATGGCTTCCTTTTTCCTTCCTTCACAGCCTGAAATGACTTCATAGCACCTTTGTGGCGACACAGACCCAGTCAGGAGTGTGTCCCAGCATCTGGAGAAGGCAGTGAACCAGAAAGACTCCAGCCAGGTGACAAGAGCTGAGACTGAGGTGTGCAAATGAGCAGCCATGCAGGAGCTGCTCGATGCTCTACGGATGTTTGCAGCTTGGGAACACAGGGTGTGCAGTATGAGCACCTCAGCACACAACCACAGTCACCTCAGGCTACAGGGAATTCAACCAACTTGTTCAGAAACTGAAGCCAAAAATTCACTGAGGCAGACCAGAGCTGAGCCCCTTTCCTAGTTGTATTTTATAAATTGCTGAAAGCAGTCCCTTTGCACAACCATTTATCTCTTGATTAGAGCCTTTCATGAAATTAGATTTGTTTAGTGTTGGCCAAGAGCTGTTGTTGCTGCAAGCCATTTTCACAATAGCATTAAGCTTTGTTTTCTCTTACAGGTTAACCAGCAAAGCCAGCTGGAACTGGAGGGAGCCAGCAGGGTACACAAGGCAGCAAAGCTGCTGAAGAAATCAGAGGATTTCTGCCTTACTCTGCTGACACACATTGGTTGCAGAGGTCATCCTTCTCACTTCACAAGCTGTGTCACGTGTTTGCTGGCAGCAAACCCTGCAGCCATATTCAGATTGAGATCTTCACAAAGAGAAGTATCTCAAAATAAAACTATCAGGGCTTGATGCATTCAACCCCAGCACTGCATGACCGCAAGACAGAAGAGTGACAAGGTGCAGAATTACCTTTAATTCTGCCAGTGATGTAAATGAATCCATCTTTATCACACTTGCCAAGATCTCCTGAATGCAGCCAGCCATCTTCATCAATTGCCTCTTTGGTTTTCTCCTCCATGTTCAAATAGCCCATAAAGATGTGCCTTCCTGCAAAGCAGATCTCCCCAATGCCATCTGCATCTGGTTTATGGATCAGAGTCCGACAGCCTGCCATTTCCTTCCCACAGCTTCAACAAAGAGAACACAAACACAAACCCAAGGCTTTTTTCATTATTACTATTTTTACATTCAGTAGCTGAACAGCAGAGAGAAACAATAGCAGTACCCACACACCCTGAAGTGTCTGAACCAAACCAGGCAGCCTTTTATTACAACTACTCCAATGGGGAACGTAAAGATTTAAAAGGCATCTGCTTATGCAAAGGAAAGTACAGAAAGCTGTTACTGCAGAGAGATCAGTGCTCACACACCTGGTGCTTCCACCCACTGCTCTCAGACACCTGAGCTCTGAATTAGAAGACTTATGTTCTTGGTGGCAAACTTCTACTAACAGTGGTGTTACTCTGCAGACCAAACCCATGGGGACTGAACGAGCCATTCGAAGCCACAGAAGAGGCTGACTGTATTTATTCATTTGACATTAAGGTGAACTGTAGCTTGAAGTCACTAATTTGCTCCTCCCACAAATCCTGTGCTTTCTACTCAGTTCCCAGAGAATCCAGGCCAAACCTAAGTAATGCTCCCTTTGCCCTTGGCAGATCTCTTCATCTGCAGAACATGGCCAGAGGAACTGGCTCCCCAGAGATATCTTACTGGCTGTGAGAGTGGGGCTGAGCTGCAGTGGCTGAAACAAAGAAGCCAGGCACAGGAGAAACCTTAAAGGATCTCTGCTCCTCCCAGCAGAGCAGTGCTTACAGCGGTTATTTACCTGGTAAGCCTGAATGCTTGAGGTATGGAGGCTGTGTGAGGCCCTGAGCTCTCACTCATGCCATACAGCTCAAACACGGGAATGTTCAGACTTAAGAAAAACTCCAGAGTCTCTCTGCTAATGGGAGCAGCTCCTGTGAAGCACCTGGTGCACCGATCCAGCCCGATGGCCTTCCGAACCTTCTTGTACACCAACTGCCTGGCCAGGCGGAAGTTCACCGGGACCTCAGAGTACCTGTGGAAGGAAAATTATGACAGGATCTCAAGTTAGAAAGTAAAACTTCTCCCCACCCTCCTTTCATCCATTTCCTAATTTGCCTTCTTCAGTAAAAAAATGACAATAGAAATCACTCCCGCCTCCAACCACTGCTGCCCATCCTCTTGACCAACCATTACATTTGGTTTTTAATTGAAGCCCACGAGTCTGGCCTGCTCCATGCAATTAATTCCTCATTGGGAGCTAAAGTTCTCTTAATATTCGTAACACCCCTTAAGTTAACTTGTAATTACCCATTCATCCACTTCAGGTTTGTCTGCAGCCCGACCCCCTTGGCCCATGTTGCCACTTTTCTTCTCAGTGTCGATGATTTTGCACCGACTGATTTCATTTTTTCCTCTATTTTTTCCCAGACACGAGGAACTCCTAAGAAGGCAGTTGGCCTCACCTCACGCAGGGTGTCTACCAGGGTGCCCTGAGAGGAAGAGAATTAAACACAGATTTCAAAAGTGCTTTAGTACAGATTCAGGTCAGCGCTGCTCACTAGCCAAGGCCTACAACTGCCATCAGCTCTTGAGGAATGGATCACTTTCAGATGAAGTGCCACTGCTGCCGAGTGCAAACAGAGCAGCACTGAACAATACTAGTTTTCTTCCTGTCATGTTCCACCAAAAAGCCTCAGAAGCATTCCTATTCTGCACTGGTTTTGACAAGACAGCAAGGGTCAACACTCTTGATGCCCATGCTGACACAGCATAGGGACAGAATGCTCTTCCCAGGGCACAGAGTTAAAGGTGGGGGCATTGTGCAACATGGACAGAGCAAATACAGCAAACACAAAGCTCAACCAAAATATCAGGGCACAGAAGCGGTGCCAGATGAGACACTGAGGAGCTCCAGTTGTGAAGCTCTTGGTCAGCTCATCCTGGCATGTCATACAGACCCAAAAGGCAAAGGTCAGGCTGCCCACATTCTTCAAACCAACAGACCCTTAAACAGGAGCACTCTGTCACTACACAAACAAACATCTCGTGATTCTGAAAGCTTTGTTAAGCCACCAAGGTTTGTATTCAAGTGCCCACTCCTAGCTACACACAGGTAGAAGAGCACAAGTTCTTTTGTCATCTAATATTTTTACCTTTAATGCATCTGGCTGAGCAAAGAAAACCTGTCCTCCAAATGTTATTGATAGCCAAATATCCATAATCTGTGCAGCAACATGACTGAGAGGCAGATAGCTGACCACCAGCTCTTGCTTTTCAGTAGCTTCCATCAGCATTAAAGAATGTCCAGCTGCTATCGGTGTCCACGTCAACTGCAACAAGAACACAGCCCAGCATGAAGCAGCTGCTCAGCGGGTAGAACACAGAACATGCAGCTCACAAATGAAGGCTGTGAATTGCCATGACTCTTCAGCTGACCTCTGCCATCCCTCAGCACCCACCCAGGGTCACAGTTCTCAGAATGGATGTCCATACAAAGAGATACTCACGTTGTCGTGACTGAGCATCACTCCCTTTGGCTGCCCAGTTGTCCCTGAGGTATAAATTAAGGTACAGCACTGGTTAGGCTTCTGTGACTCAATGATTTCACGGAGCTGGGAATCTGGAACATCTTCACTGAGGTCCAAGAACTCTGTCCACTGTGTACAGAAGTGAAGAACTTCATCACTTTATAGGCTATGATTCACAAACAAAATTAAGCCCAACATGAAGAGTAAGAAACTGCGTTTCCTGTGTTCAATCCTGCAGCAGAATCTCTCAGCCCTGTTTTCTAGCTGCCACAGGAAGTGTGGAAAGAAATAGAAAAGGAGACATATGTACCTTGAAGCTTCCCAGTTCTGCAGTAACCCTGGGACTGCTAAGGAGAAGTAATTCTGGGACCCAAAGCTGTCTAGCAGAGGTCAGTATGTTGCAGCTTTCCCTTACAACATGGATTATCAAGGTTTGAACAACAGTAGACATCTACCACTTCATCCAGACAAGTGCTGAACCCAGTGTACACTTGTCATGACAGTGGAAGGTGATGGTTGCTTCCAAGCCACCAGCTAAGCACAGCCAATATTTACAATCCAGTAAGACGCCAGTACTTACAGAATACAGATTTGGTCTCTTCTCTTTTATCTCTTCTCCATACTGGATGATAGCTTTCAAGTGAGGTAGCTTATGCTCAATCTGTGTTAGAAAGGGAGATTCATGAGAATGAGCAAAGCCTGCTTGTTCCTTTTAATCCTAAGTAAATCACCACTTAACATGGCTACTTCCCATCTGAAGTAAAGCTTAGAGAATTTCATCTGTGCTATTGAAAAAGAAGAGGGAAGCCTCAGTTAAGACAGCAATCATTGGGACTGAGATGTTGTCAGTCAATATAGGTGATTCTCAATTGTTTATTCTAAATTATCATACTTGAAAGCTCAAGGTTTTGCTATGCTGCAGAACCACCATTATCTTACAATGAGATTTAGTGCAAGCGATCACTCCTGTGGCTCAAACAGGGAACACAATCAAGTTGGCTTAATCAGTTCACATCTGCTTCCAGATCCAGCATATCCCTCAGGTAGATTTACCCTCCCACACCCACCAGCAGGACACACAGCCTCAACTCATCCAACAACTCTACTTACTTGTAAGATTTTCTGCAGCTGTGTGTGATTTTCCACAACCAGAATGTTGGCACTACAGTTCTCTGCTACATAATGACAGGCTTCGGGAGAGTTCGTAGTGTAGATCCCAACAGCAAGTCCACTGCAACAGAAAAGGGAGGGGAAAAAAAAAAATGAAAAAAAAAAAGGAGAAAATTACAGAGTTAGAGGATAAGCAGAGTTGTTGGCAGAAAATCAGATTATTTTAAATCTTAACAGAGGAATACTCTCAGGAAGAATGTCCCACAAGGCAACAAGAAAAAGCAGAATCCTTACTTCTAAGAACACAGGTTTTGTTCTGTGCGTGGGTAATGTCAGAATGGAGTTACTGACCAAAGTGTCTCACATAGAAGGGTACTGTGGTACTCTGACCTTTCCCACCATCACATTTTTAATCCAAATGTAACTAAGTGTGCTTTAGGATTAACCAACTGTTCATCTCATTTTAAAAAAGAAGTACCTTGCTAAAATACGTTTTTTTTTGTCTCATTAATTCATAATGAAGTAAAGAGAGTTTAGGTTGTAACTACCCTCATTAAGTTCAAATATAAGCAGAACTTGCTTTGTTTTAAATCAGAAACAGGATTAATATCTAAAGGCTAAAACAAAATGCACAGTGAGAGCCAAAACTCATCTTACCCTGCAAAGATAGCTCCAATGTCAGCAATGAACCACTCTGGGGAATTAAATCCCAAGATGCACACTCCATGGAAACGCTCGAGTCCCAGCTTGAAACAAAAGATGAGATTACAGCAATCTTATTTTTCCTCTAAGAACACTTAATTCACAGATTTCTGCTGTGAGAACAGTGTCAGGAGAAAAGCTCCTACTATTATGTGCAGTAATTCACACACATTCCAAGGCTTAGCATGGAACCAATTAAAGTTTCATATCATCACACTGTCCAACTACATCAGTAGGCAGGAGAGGAAAAATTAAAGGAAAAAGGGATTTTCTGGATTTGCTCAGGTCTGCATTCAATATGATTAGCTCACTGACACACACGGGGCTATAAAACTACAAGCTAAGTAGCTGTCAGCTCCCTTTGGGCTTGGAAGGTAAGAGGTTAAGCTAAACAACTACTGCTGAGACATTTAGTCATTTAGTACAGGTTAGAGGAGTCATATGTGAGTAATGACCAGAAGAAGCTCTGATGGCAATTGGAGACACTTAGCTAGGAAATTCCAGCTGCTGAAGTTGAAGTCTTTAAATCTGCTTCAGCCATTCTTTGGTTTAGCACCAGAGAGTAAAGTGCATACGCTGGAAGATACCACAGCATGAGCAGAGAAAAAAAAAATGGCTTTAACTTTAGAAAATAAGACTTTCTAAAGATAAGACAGGAAGAACATGTAACATTGCTCTCTCTCTTGGAATGCCTTAATATCCAACAGCACAAGCAAACAGCTCAGCCAGTTTGAACATTTAAGTTGGACTCATAGGCAGCTTCCTTCATGTTTTCTCCTGGAAAAGTGACAATGTATGAGAGTGATGAGGGGCTCTGCCCAGGTTTGGCACATCCCTCAATTACCTCTCCCTCAACATAACACGGAAACAATTTGTACGTATGTACAAAAACATTGCAATAATCACCAAGATGTTCATTGCGTGTTCAAATATTTTCACTCACTTTAAGTCTCATCTACTTTCAGAGAATTTGCAAGCTCAAGATACAGCTGACTGCAGCTGTTTCAGCAGTTACACTGGCTGAAGACACATGTGGAGTAGAATTCAACAAAAGCTCACCTTCAGAAAGCTTTTGGCTGCTTTCCAGCACTTGTCATAGTACATCTTATACGTGAGTTTTACCCACTGGCCATTCTTCTTGAATGCAAGAGCATAATAATCACTGTATTTGCTAACGGCTTCTTGGAACAGGTCATGAACTGTCTTTGGTGTCCTGCTGCCTACGCCCTCCTCATCCATCCTCAATTTCACTTCTCCATCTCGTTTTGTTGTCCACATGCTGGAGGCAGGAGGTGGAGGGGCTGGAGATAAAGATAATTGTTCAATGTCTCGTATTTAGAAATTCCCTGCTGCCATAATAGAAATATAAATAGAAGCAAATGCCAACAGTCCTCCTTTTAAAAAATTATTATTAATTAAAAAGGACTGGAATACATGATTACCTGATAGGTTTGCGTTAGTCAGTGACATTAGCTCTCTTACTCCTTGGAACACAGACATAAGTCTATGCTTAGAGGTTTCTGGACAGACCATCCTACACTTCTACCACTTCTTATGGTTTCGTTAATCACTCCCTCATTTAAACAATAATTTTATGCACATAACAGTAAATAAAAGCGCTTTCCACTTACATGTTAAACCAATCTTGTTCACCTGAGATCTCTCTGTCTTAGGATCTTCAGCTGGCTCCACGCTGCAGACCTCAACAGCTCTGCAAGGCAAAAGCAATTAGTGCTGGACAAGCACAGAAGAGGCTGAAGAATGCCTGAGGCATGCTTGCTCCATCACTTAATTGTATTAATCCTCACGTGTCAAACAAAGATTAGTGATTCCTGATGTTCTGTACTTGGCTTTATTAATTTCACTAGCTCAGGTTGCATGGGTATAGGAACAAAACAGGCCCACTTAAGCAAGTGTGCAATCTTTGCCTGCCCTGCTTCTGTACACACGTGTTGCTTTATTTGGAAGATACGCTGCAGAAGAACACGTGAACACAGCATCACAGCATCCAGAAAGCCTGATAATTTAACACCACCTGAATGGTCTGTGTGCCTGCAACAGTCTGCAGCAGTGAGGACAAAAACAGGCGTGCAGATCTGGTGCATGATACAGGTAGGAGAAAAGCAAGTCTAAGTGAGGGCAGCAGCCCCCAAGGCCTTCCTGCTGTGCAGTGCTGAACCACCCCAGTGACCCTTCGGGAAAACCCAGAGATTTCCTGCAGAAGGTAAGGCCAGCTAAGAGCAGGAAATTGATTTAGCAGGAAATCCTGTTCTTAGGTATTCCTAATAAAGTTAGTCCATCAGGCTTCAGCACATGTTTGTGAAGTAACTGAAAAGGCACTCTCAGATGTGCCTCTACTGCAGCCATGCTCTTCAAGGAGCCTGCACTGTGGTTCCATATGAAAGTGGCCCTTTTTACTTTCAATCTTGCAAGATTTGGTAAAAGCCTCCTGTCTGCATTGGTAGAACAGTGTTCTTACTCTGATCTTTTCCAAAATTGACTTTCATAAAGCTTTGAGTGATGAGAACATGGAACAATTAAGTCACAAATCCCACTTCAGATGACAAATTGGAAGGCAGCCCATGTGATATTTGGTATTTGAGTTTGTGTGTTCTGCCCTCAAAACAACACTTCCCATCTCCAAACTACAGGCAGGAGATATTTGTTCCCTACCCTGGACAGACCCCACTTGTATCACCTTAGCACTAAGACCCAAGCTTTGCTCCACCCAAGATTACATCCCAGAGAAACTACAGTTCTACCTTGCCTTGCCAAACAGCCTTCATGGGGGACCTCTGCTCAAGGGTGTCATGACAGAGTTTGTTCTTTCACACCATCACTCCTCCCCACTGCAACACTGAGCATGGGGCTTCCTGCAGGCACTCAGTAGTGTTCCAGAAGGGTTACCTCCCATGACATCACAGAGAGGGCTCACCAAGTTCTTCTGTCTGTAGGCACAGCTTTCTGGCAAAAACATGGCTCAGTGACTGTCACTAACCAGGAAGCTCTCAGTCCCATGCAAACCCTTTAGCCTAACCCCAGCAGGCTGCCAGCCAAGCCTCACGTTTGCTTCTCTTTCTGCTGGATCAAAGCAGAGATAAATCAGCCAGAAAGCCCCACGTGATTCTCAGCCTAAGCAGTAAATTGCTTCCCTCCAGTTTATGTTTTGTTTGAATTTCTAAGGGATATTAAGCAATTATGGCTTTGGACATATGATAGGATTTAAGGCACAGAGCTTTGATAGCTACTCCTATGTACTGTCCAAAAGCAGAATCACTACTACCTAATCTGCAAGGTAGAAACCAGAGAAACATCAATCAGTTTCCTTTATTTCTCCCAAAGGGATTACAAGATCTTCCTCAGTACACATTTCTTCATCAGTACTGAGAACAGTTTTCAACACAGATTATCCCCCAGTTGCAGAAGGTCTACATCATTTCTCCACCTGCTTTTGTGGGCAAAGTATGGAAGTGACTCAGTTATATGAGAAAAAAAAACCCGCAGCCACTTCCCTTACAGTGAATCAAAAGCCATCTTTCCCTCCTCCATAATATATATAGTTCTTAAACAGCTCCTCACAAAATAGGTAAAGAGAGCCTTGGAAGTCTGCTAGCTATACCTCATTACACTTGATTAATGATTATTAATCTGTTCTTCAGCTATGAAGCTATGTACATTAACAGAGGGACTACCAGGCTGCCTAGCTTGGTAAAAAAAAATAAAAATAAAAAAATCAGTACAGGTTCTGCAAACAAGCTGTCCCTAAAGAGGCTCACCTCTGGTTTACAGTACAGCAATGCTTCACTAGTGCACGCAGTCCTTGCTAAGCATTTCATCAGTGTCCTCCCAGTTAGGTAGAATTAACAGTTATCTGGAGTTCCTCTGTAAGAAGTCATCTTTCTGAAGCTGCAGAACATTCTACCATTTCTACACCTTGGGTTTCTATCAAACACACACTACCCCAAGCTCTGCACTCTGTAGCTACATACAGTAAAAATAAACTCTGTTCCTTCTTTTCAGGGGGTGAGATCACAGATTCAACTTCTTGATTTTGTAAGTAGCAAGAAATGTTTGAAATTTACTCTAAAACTCAGAATGTCCCAATTAATCCAAGTCTGTTTGAATACAAGCTATGTGCTGTGCACAAAGGTAATGACAAGAAAAAAAACCAATAAGATCTTAAACTAGACAAACCTAGCTGAGGAGCTGATGGTGATATCATCCAGTGACACCTCACTGCTCCCCTGAGCATCCACACTGTGATAAGCCATGGGGACTGGATCTGTAAGCGTCGAACGTGCCTCTGCCTCACACAGCATCATCCCTGTAAAAATAGGTTTTAAATTAGGATTTAGGAATCAAATACTACAGCGAAATCAGCTTTAATTGATGGGACCTTCTGACCATGAAAAACCCAAAGCTGATGTGATCCAAGATTGCTACATTTGCATTAAATATGGTAAATTCTATCATTAGACAAAGTGCTCTTCACATCACGCCCGGTGCATTTGGAAAGCCTGATGAGAATTAGATTACACATCCACTCTCACACTTAAAAACAAGTCTGACAATTACAGCTTAGAAAAAGCACAGCGAGGTTAACGTTTACATTCTGCACTCTTCTGCCCCAAATGTTAAGGCTCAGCTCTCAGCCCTCCCCACATTCACCCACCGCAGTGCTCCGGCTCGGCCTTACAACGCATCGTCTGCTCCTTTGTGCAGCCTCTCCTCCCGCAGCCTCTCTGAACCAGCACCGATGCAAAATATCCTTTATTTTTAAACTAGCGCCCATGAGGCAGATCTGGAGCATCTTATGTCATGTGCTCCCTGCCTTGCAATTGGAAGCAGCCCGTCACCCCACACCGCCGCCTAATGAGGAAGCGCTGGCCTCATGCCTGCTTGCCATGCTCAGCTCTCGGGGCGTGGGAGGTTCGGGGTTCCTCTGTGCATGCCTGGGGCAGCTGGGGGGGCTCAGCCCCCTGCATTCTTGCTCCCTGGGGATTTAAAACCTCGTAAGGATCGGTGCTTGGTAGCTGCTGTGTTTTCAGCACTGCCTTCAGTCCTTTGTCATTAAGGGGTTTCATCATCTAAATGAAGCATTTTCTTATACTGAAAGCAACGCTGCTTTTATTTAGAGGTTTACAGTCATCAAAAGCTTTTGATGCTCACAACCTGACAGGCTGAGCTTTAACTGCTTCTGTGAATTTGTAACTGATCAACTGATTTGAATCTGACCCTTCATCCTTATAAAAAGTGAATTTTAGCATGCCATGTGGTTCCTCCATTAGGGCAACAGAAAGCAGGCAATGCAAGGAACACGTCTGTCTGAACGATGACAGATACTAGCAAGAGGAAAGAGACGTTTCTCTAATGAATCAGATGTGGCCTGGAGGTCTGGAGGAAGAAATGACTGTGCAGCACCCTGCTTCTGACAGCAGTGGAGAAAGGCACAGCCAGCTGCAATTCAAGCATGCAAATCTGCTCTCCTGGGCTAGAAGCACACCCCCCCTCCAATTCCTCATCTGCACAAGGACGCAATGCTACGAGCTACAATTCCCAATTAAAAAAACAGTGCAATTCATAAGCAGCAGAGAGTGGGGCATCTCCAGAATCCCACCTCAGAAGCATTGGGCTAAGTGGCAAACATTGCCCAATACCCCACTCTAGACTGAAACACCACAGTGGTTTATTCTGTTCTTTGTATAAGGCAGCTGGGAGAAAACAAGCACTGTTTCTGCAGAGTAGCCCAGTGCTTGTAGAATGGTGAAGCATGGGTAAAGCTGCCTCCCCAACCTGGAGGAACTCAAACCCACATCTACAAGAGCACGCCAGCTTCAGCATGGCACAGTGCCTGCCCTGGGAGCCACCAACTGCCCTCCTCCAATGCCTCACTGTGTTATCTGCTGAGAGCCCAGACCCTGCGGGCAACCAGGACAACATGAGATTGCACAGCCTGGAAGCCCAGGGAGAAGCACCACTACTTCAGGTGGACGTGGGATTGTCCAGGAGAATCAAGGTGTTAATGCCACGTGGCCCTCAGCACCTACAGAAGAACAGCACAAGCAGCAGCAGTTTTTGGAGTACCCAAATATACTCGTATCATGAAACATCAGCACACGAGCAGACGGCCAAAGTGCAACCTAGCTGTGTGATTTCTCTTGTGAACGCAGGGCTGAGGGAGCCCAACCCAGCCATGCATTTCATACAGCAAATGTGGGCTGTAGATAAAAAATAAAAATGCCAACATACATACTCTCCTCACCAGCTCCATTAAGCAATCCAGCTATGGCCCTATACTTTGTGATGCTTTGCTACAACCACAGCTGTGCTGCACAAACCTCGCAGTGACAACTCACACTTCGTTCCCACAGCTCGATGGGTGGGGGAGCAGGATCAGGAATGAGCACACGCTGTTTGTGGGGGAATTAACCCTCTGCAACATGCCACAGCTGTTAGAAACACGAACACACACCCAGAGAAAAGCCTGTCGAGAGAAAGCTCCCTTTTAATTACATCTGTGTGAAAGCAGAAGTCATTTAACTACAAACCGCCCCCTGCTTTGAGCGCTACATCCTGGAGACCTGCAAGTTTATGAACTATTTCATGGAAACAGCTCTGCTTCCAGAACAAAGTAACAGTGTGACTGCGTGCACCCACGACAGGCAGAGCTACAGAGGTGGAGGTTTCATTGATAATAGGATCTCAATATGCCCTTACTCAAAACTTCAAAATATGCCCTTACTCAAAGCTTCAAAAACACCCATTCAAATTAAGGTTATGTTCATCAGTCAGCCCAAAGCTCACTACCACAAGTCTGCTCTGCTCCCTGCTGCTTTCTTTCCCTTTTCCTCACACGGACAGCACTGCTGAGCTGCCCAGCTTACTGTGGCTGTCACATCACCTCACCAGGTATCCAGAAACAGAGCAGAAAAGCAGAAGCTGGACTTCTTGTTTTCACCGCGGATTTACGAAGTGAGGAAACAGATCCTTTACAGCCCAATTTTCCCCCTCTTAAACACCACCCGTACAGCGACAGCAGCTTTCCGAGCACCGTAACTTCTCCCTGGGCGATGCCACGGCACCAAACCCAGCCTGGCTGAGCCCACAGCAAGCGGGGTGTATGAGACGGGACAGCAGCCTCCGAGCCCACGGAGCCTCAGTCAACGGCGGCGCCCACAGAGCGGCTCCGGCCGCAGAGGCAGAGCAGGGCTGCGTGCAGCCGCGTTACGGGGCCGCCCTGCCTGCCACGTAACCCATCGCCGCTCCGCTCCCCGCAGCCCGGGCTGAACCCCCGGTTCTGTTTCCTCACGGACCGCTCGCTCCATCACGCATCTCTGCGGAGTAGAAATTCCCTCACGCTCAGAAATACACTTTTGGAGATGCGTGACCAGCTCCTACCGAACCCAAGGCGGATTTTCTCTCTGTTTTTTCCTCAGACTCGCAGCCGACCAGCACCAAACGCCCCAATCCCCGCACAACTCGTTCCGCAGCCCTTCGGTGCGGATTTTCTCCCTCGTTCCCTTCCAGCCTGCACTCGGCTCTCGCTTCCCACCCCGCTCACCGGCAGCTCCCGGCGCTTCAGCTCCGTTTAAAAGCACCTCGTTCCCCCCCCCCAAAAAAAGAAGCTTTAAGGAGCGCAGCCCTTCAACCCGATCCCCAAACACTCGTGCTTTTCACGCAGCCAAAGCTTTTTCCACGCGGCAGCCCTTCAGCGGCGCCCACCGCCCCACCCGCCCGCTTTCCTCAGTCCCGCCGCGCGCGCGCGTGCACGCGCCGTTACCTCAGGAGCGGGCGGGCGCGCGCAACCACCCGGCGCGACGCGGGAACAGCGGCCGCGCGCCGCCACGCGGGGCCCTTTAGCGCGCGCGGGAGAAGGGGGGCGGGGCCTCCGCTGCAGCGCGCTGCTCGAAAGACCGCGTGGCCACGCCCACCTCCTCCGCTGAGGTCACCCGCGGTTATTGACCCCGCGCTGCGGCGACACGTGGTGACAACGAGGGATCGACACGCCGGGCGCACGCGGCCCATTCCCGGCTGCAGGGGAGGGGCGAGTCGGCCCCGACCAAAAGCAGAGAGGAAGAGAACACGATGGAAACGGCCGCACGTCTATTTCCTATCCGTGCTACGAGGGCTTTGCCCCAGCAAGCAGAGGAAGTGGTGCGATGACTGCTCACAGGAAACGGGCTCGTGGGCAGCGCTGCAGCTCAGAGCACCGAGCACCAAGTGACAGCACCGAGCACCAAGTGACAGCACCCAGCACCAAGTGACAGCACCCAGCAGCCTGGCTGCAGCAGCCTGTGCTTCCTTGCGTGCCCCCTTTGCTTCTTTTATTTGTATATAGTAGGTCTTTGAGTTCTCAGTTGTGATGTTGCACAACAGCCAAGATAGTGTTTATCCTGATGGCCAAACAGCTGCATCCTCAAATGAGTTATTGCTGCTATCCTGCCAGCACAGACCACAAATTCCCCAGCCTTGTTTTTCCTGCATACTCCTCTCCCCAGCGCCTCCACTTTCCAGACACATTCCTTGCTCCCTTGTGGTGTGCAGACATGGGTCAGTCCTGCCAGCAGCTCAGGGACACAGCTGGAGCAGCAGCAGGTGCAGGGGAGAGGACAGCGCTGAGAACATCGCAGCTGCAAAACAGCCTCAGCACAGAGCTGGGGCTGCCAAACCGGCCCCAGGAACCTCACAGGGCGAGCTCTGCAGATTCGCAGACCCAGGAGCTGTTGCTGTTATGGCTGCCTGCCATCATCTCTTGCAGCATCTCCACCCTGCCCCGGCTACCTCACCTGCTCCTGTATAGCTCATCCATTTCCATCCAGATGGTGAATTAACTCTGGAGAGCGAGGATACAAATAACACTGAATAATAACAGATTGGATTGGAAGGGACCTTAAAGCCCAGCCAGTTCCAACCCCGCTGCCTGGGCTGTGGGGCACAGCTGAGGCTGTGCAGGGCCCCATCCGTGGCCTTGGGCACCTCCAGGGATGGGACACCCACAGCTCTGGACAGCAGTGCTGGGACCTCACCACCTTCTGAATAACGGATTTCATCCTCACATCCAACCTCAATCTCCCCTCTTTCAGTTTAAAACCATTCTCTTGTCCTATCACTGTCTGCCCCTGTAAAAAAATAATAATAATAATTGGTCTTCTTCCTCTTTATGAGCTCCCTTTCAGTACTGGAAGATTGCAATCCAGAGCTGTGGGCAGATCTGTGAAGTTAGCAGCCCACTAACCTTCTTACTCCAGTCGCGCCTTAATTGTTAATCAGTACCTGCTGTGCTGACAAAGGGCAGAGAAGTCTTGGAGACCCAAAAAAAGATTCAGTGGCACAGCCCAAAGGTTAACTGATGTGGCAGAAGTAACCAGTTCTATTTTGGATAATGGCCTGAGCCAGCAAGTGACCTGGGGCAAGCTGCACTTTTTTTTTTTCTGTTTGTGAGTGAGGTTGCAACACTACAGAGGTAGATGTCAAAGTGTCTGCAAAATTCAGAGCAAAGGGACCATCAGCAAAGGACCACATGAGAGCATAGCGTGTGATACTGAGCTGCTCTGGCTGCCTGCAGGAGATCAGCTTCCATCACCTCCTAACAACGGACTGTTGCTATTGACAGGCCTAACCCTTTGCAAACAAAGATGGAGTGGCCAAGCTTGAACTCCTGAGGTGGTAAATGCACCGCAGTGACTGCACCCTTTGTCAAGGATCACATTTGTGGGCTCTACATTTATGAACAATTAACTCAAGTGGAGTCCCAGGGTTCTCACTTTCCAAGGCAACAAAAGCAGGTTGGCTCAAGCACCTCCAAGTAGAGGAAATATTACCTCCAGTTAATAGGAATGCTGTACAGAAAAGCTCACATGGGCTGAGCTGCAGCTCTGACTGCTGGGCCAGGTGACACCAAAAGCTCTTTGCAAGCAACAGCTGTTCAAATCACCAGCTTGAGCCTGATCTCACTAAATTCTCGTGCCATCAAAATTACAGCCAGTGTGAATTATATATACAGACACGTTGGGGCAGGGAGGAAGCATGAGAAGCGTGTCTTAGTCTTTCACTTGTATCTACTGCCTGCACAGATACTTGCAGTCGCTGGGACTTGAAAGGGTTTTATTCCAGTTTCTCATCTGATGCCACGTGCTACAGCACGTCTCCTGCCAAGAGCAACAGCCAAAGCAAAGCTGTGAATTTTATAGCAAAGGCCCAGATAGGTAAGCACTGTGCCTTGCTGCTTGCATCTGTAAAGCACGCCTAACAATTGAAGCCAGTTTTCTAAATGATCAATCCATATCAGGGCATTAATTAATAATTAAGATTTTTCAAATTAACAAAGCTGTCAAACCTCTGCATGGAGTTCTAGTTTTAGGTTGATACAGATGAATGGTCACATCTACTGTCCTGACCAAAAAGGACCCAAAGCTGCAGGGACTGATTGCAGGGATTTGCTGGGGGAGAACAGGAAGAGTTCCTATGGAACAAGCTCCATGAAAACACCAGGCAAATCCAAAGTATTCAAGGAACACCAAAAAAGGGTTAAAAATCCACCACCACAGCATACCTTTGCCCTTTGAAGAAGCCTTTCCATTATTCTGTTGCTCTTAATAGTGACACAAGAAGAGAATGTGGGAGAGGGGGAGCTGGCTGCAAGTTAAGCAGCCTCGAGTTGTGCTGATAGTGCAGGCTCAGCTGAGGTGCTGTGCAATGCCATCAAGGGCAGAGGTGGGAGAGATGTAGGATAAGAGCTTTAATATGATCCAGGATAAATGCAGATTGGGCTCCTGTACTTCGTGCTTGTGCATGCCAAATCACCTGACTCCTGTTACAAAAACATTTCCTGTGACTTACAGAATTCACTCCATGTTCTGGAAAAAAAAAAAAAAAAGATAATAAATTCCATTTGCAAATTTTTTTCTATCTTAAGCAAAGAATCAGCTCTTAATACAGCTGTGGACACGCAGAGAAAGTGGAAATAAGTTCCTTGTTTAGGTAACTCATTCCCCATATGGAACAAGTCACATCTGCCCACTTGTGTGACCCCAGGCAGTTTACACAACACACCACTTTCATCACCCTTCCAGTTCATCCCTGGTATTGGATCTGTAAGCTATTCTGAGCTAGCAATCCTCCAATAAAGTTCACAACATTTCCAGCTCCAGAGTTACTGGTAGCAAGTGACTCAACCCAAAGCATGGTTGTACCTCAGGTCAATGACCTGAAAGATAACAGAAGGGTGGGGGGCAGCCAATGCACCATTTCATCAATTTCTACATGAAGGAGAAGGAATGCACTGAGAAAACAGCCCAGTAAATAAGTGGTCACAAGGAAGGATGGGAGACAGAGGAGTTTGTTTAGCACACAGGCATTTCTCAACTTCAGCAGCACATCTTATCTTTCCCACCAAGGACTTGTCACATCTTTCTGGTCACATGAAAGAGTCTATAGCAAATAGGCGTAGGTCTCTCTGGAGTACAAAAGAAAAACAGCTCGCTAAAATCCCAAATTAAGGTCTAGATTCATATCAGCTGAACAAATCAGTGTAGCCTTAGCAAAGCCACAGTCTTCAACAGGACACAGCAGTTGATAAGGTGACCTTTAGCTGACTCAGTAAAGCCAGTTTATAATAACATGAGCCTCCTACAGTTTGGCTCTCGTAAATAAAATTGTAGGAAGCAGTGCGTTTGTCCTGTCTGTTGTAGGCACTTGTGTAAAGCACAGTACATTACAAACACATTCATGAAGAGTGAGGGGGATTAGGATTAGAATTTCTTGTCTATATGGTCATTTAGTTTGATGCTAGCTATCACTTCTCTCTAAAGAACTTATCTGTGTTCCCTGAACACTAAAGCTAAAAACCACGCTAGGATGTTATTTATACCCACAGGTGATTTCACTCTTTCAAAAGAATTTGATCCAAATTTAGATACATACAGAAGTTACACACAAAAGAGTGAAGTTGCTCCCAGCAGCTCAGGACAAAAAACACAGCTGCATCTCAGGAACTTCTGTAAAGCATTACATCTTCCTTGCTACTGTAGGATGAAAACAGCAGGCTTGCTTTCCTGATTACCAAGTCAGGTGTTGCAATGGTGTCACATGGTTTACCAGGCATGCCTTGCCCAAAGCAGAACAAAGTTGTGTCCTATCTGTCCTCAGCATTTAAACTGTGTCGTAACAAAAAAGAAAAAGAGGATGAGCATGTAATTACAGTAAGACACAGAACATGCACCCTCACTTAATTACAGCAGTCCAGATATCATCCTGTGTTCTTTAAGGCAACATAAACAGTACATCTGCTGATAGTGAGCTGGCTATACTTAGACTGCAATGAAATACCTATGCCCTAATAATTCAATCTTAAACGTTAATAATCCATAGGGCTACCTATTTTTGTGTATTTTTATGAGCAGTCTCACTAGTAAAAAAAAAAAAAAAAATGCTTTGTCATAAATACATTTAACTTACCCATACAAACAACCCAAAACTTTTCTCTTTAATTGTTCCAAACTTCAACATTTTGTCACAGTTCAGGAGGGAAGAAGTGACCTGAAGCACTGAAAGTATTCACAGGACAGGCAGATGGAAGGCAGCTGCTCTGGATTTCAGAATAATTCAGACCCTGTAGGTTATTCTACATCAAGTAGAACACCTATTTAATCTTTGTCCTTCCTACAGGTTAGCCAGCAATGCCTACAAAGCTGCAGCAATGCATTGTTGAAGAAAACTGCCCCTCAACAGCCAAATCCAATGGCTTAAAGAAATCATTCTATAGCAGCTGGAATAGTTATCACCTCTTGCTGCTCCCACTTACCTTAGCTGCTGCAGTTTATGGCATAGGTCAGCCTCACTTTGCTGCTTCTATGGGCTACAAAGCCAAGCTTTGCATGGAGATGGACAAAGCAAAAAGCATGTGTACCTTTCTCCTGCACAGATTTTGGCAGTAAGCTGGAGTGCAAAGATGAAGACAAGTGCACCAAGCTTCACTACAGCTTGTCTATCAGAGCCTTACAGACTCAGCTATACCTCACTTACATACAACCAAGGTTGTGTGCTGCTATCCTTCTAGCAGACCATCAAGAGAAACCCAACCCAACATGTCCTTCCTACATATGCATGAACAGAGTCAGCCACCTAAGCCAGCAGATCACAGCTTTTTAAGACCCAGAAGGACAAGGAGCAAAGAGCTCATCCCAAGCTCCTACCTCACAGCTGGCAGCTGTCAGCCCTGCAAATATTTGCTAAGTCATTTCAAACAACTGAAATGCCTAACGTAATGTAAATAGCTTTCCTAAATTAGGGCACCCGATTTTACCTGATACTAATTTTGGTCATTTCTCATTTGCACTTCTTTTAATACCACCAAAATGCATGAGAAGGTGCTGCAAATTTAGGGCAGTAATCTTACCAACTGCATACCTATAACTGGAAGGCATATAACTTTAGTGCAAAACACCCCAGTAGCTGGTTTGTTCTAAGAACTGATTTTACACAGCTACAGACTGGGCAGCAGTCACACATACTGCTGTGTCAGAATGGAAATGGAGAAAATAACTCTACCTGTAAGGAAATAAAAAGCTGATGAGAGCGTAACATTTTCAGTCAGAAGCTGTCTGTTATTAATATTAAGCTAGAAAAAAGGAATGTAAAAAACAAATCCTTTTTTTATTTTGCCAGCATAGCTGCCTTCACACAAGACATTTTTAGAAGTGGTAGTAACAGCCTAGGGGTAGGGATTTTTCAGTTTTGTTTTGGGCATTTCTTTTCTGCAATCCCAGTGAATGCTGTTGCACTGACTAAACAGTAACATAAACTAGATGCTCATTGACCTCACCCTCTAACAAAGCACCTCTCCTTAGTGGCTCCTCCATCCTTCCAGTCAGGAAGTTGTTGTTGACACACTCCAGGAACCACCTGGGTTTCTTATGACCTGCTTCCTGACCTGTCCCTTCTAAAAGGCTAGTCTCTGCCCATTGCAGCACTCCAGCTGTGGGAGCCATCTCACCATATCTGTGTGATCCCAACAGGATTGTGGCCCTGCAACTGCACACCTATCTCTAACTCACCATGTTTATTTCCCATATTTCCTGTATTAACACACAGGCTTCAGAAATGTACCCTGGTGCATAGACTTTCTAGAAAGGGTTTGTGGGATTTCTTCTTTCCTTACATACATGTGCCTGAGGTGACCCCACTTAAGCCCTGCTTTGTTGATCTTGTGTTCCATTCCTGCCATATCACCCCGCTGACCCTGTCTGCTGCTCCCTCCCAGGACTGCTGGTTTCTCTCTTCTAACCTGTCTGTAGTTGTATGGAAAAGTGAGAGAGTCATTTATACTCCTTGCAACAGAAAGGAATTTCCATGTTTTACAGAAGGGAATTTCCCTGTTCTACTAGAATCTGATGCCAGAACTATTCAGTCACTGAGAGTTTAATTACTTCAGTGTTGCCTCCATATAGAAGCTGTGTTGACACACACTGTATTGATTCAGTTATATCAATATGACAGTCTTTGGCCACATCCAAGCTTTGGACACATTCTCTCTCAGTTCCTGTGGGTCGAGGAGGCATCTCTCCATGCTGGGTGTGGCACACAGACCCATATCAGCCAAGGCAGCATAACTGCTTTTTCCAATACGCAATGCCCAGGATTTCCAGCCAGCCATAGCCAAACCAAGCAGGTAAAACTCCAGATAAATACTGAGTCCTTTAATTCTGCTGAAAGGAAATTTCTGGGGTCAGAGAACATTTGGATTTCTGGCCATGCTAAAAAAAAAGTAATGGCTGGAGGAAGACACAAGGTTGAGACCAGCAACCTGTTCAGAGTACGGCTCAAATCCACTGGACTTCTGGGCTCATTCAGACCAGCAGCCACCTCTCTAAGCAGAGCACAGTGCACAAGGTACAGCAGGTATTGCATGCTGCCTCCAGCCTTACTGCACTGTGTATTTTGCTGCAAATTGTTGTGAAACTTGCTGCCACTCAGCAGCAAGGGAAAGGGAAGGGCTAGATGCCCTTTCTTTCGCTCATTTTCAGGCTCACCTTTTTTCCCTCAGTTTAGATAAGAAAGAAAAGCAGCAGTGCTGTGGTGTGCTTGCATGACAGGACAGTGCCTGTAACATTAGAATAAGTGCAGCCCTGAATTCACTTTCTTGCTGAAGAAACACGTAGGCAGTGTGTTGGCAGACAATGATGTGCATTCTGGTGCCATTGGGAAATTCCAGTATGGCCTTGGAAAATCAACTTTTAACAGATTTGTTTTTTTAAGTCCAGCCAAAAGCACGGAAGAGAGCCTTTATTTGACCAGCAGCAAATTGAGAAATTGATGATGCAGAAGACAACATACCCAGGGCTATGATTTGAGCAGGCACTCACTCAGCAGAATCAGCATGCAGCACTGCTCCAGATGTGGCAGCTCTGTGCAGGAAAGGCCATAGTTTCAGTTTTGCTGTCAGTCACTTGAAGGGGTTTTCCCAGGAGTTTCTGCATGGAGATTTACTCTGTTCTCAAGCTGAGCAGCCACCTGCCCACAAAAACAGAACTTATCCCATTTGCATCACAAGTTAAAATCACTGATAAGTTAAATTTTTCATTGATATTATATATATATATGTTAAAAAAATTGATTAGCTTAGACAATCTTCATACCTTGCATTGGATGATGCTATATATGCTTTGGTAAAACACATAGATGGAGCCACCAGTTCAAGCTCCTCATATTTTACATTAGGTGTGCAGAGATTACTCAGCAGTAAAATCTGACACTGATGGGTGAACTTGACACAGAAAGCCTTCTGATAGTAAAGTGCTGTTTGGGTTTGATGTCTGATGGGTAACGATAAGGATTCTCCCCATTAGAACTGGCTGAACATGAGCAAACAATTTTTTTTTCTTTTTTTTTTTTAAGAAAAAAGGACAGAAGAGTTTTTTCTTTTGTTCTTGATTTCATTTTCTCAGTAAAACAAGGCAATAATTTCATTTGTATTTCATTATCAGCTACCAAAACTCTATTTTTCACAGATAAGGAAGGATCACATGATATTTGCAGGGCTTTTACTGTCATAAAAAGACTATTTTTGGTCCGAATTTCCTTTCATTCAAACTAATTCAAACAGTCCCTTTGTGCAGCGATTATGAGACAGGATTTAACTGTGTTCCAGCTGCCCTCCTGTGGGTAGGAGATAACTGTAGCAAACATGATACCTCACCACCAGGCCTTGTTTCTTCTTTTTCTTCACCCACAGCTTTCTTACAAGATTCATTCAGCAGATCCACGTTGGTACTATCCAATTTGAAAGGGATGAGATCTGGCATATGCAACAGCAGCAAGAAAGAGGGGAAAACTAGTTCCAGACACAACAAATGACAGACAGGTTCTAATTAAAAATAGCAACCCTATGATTATTATCCAGCCTCCCAGGATGGAGCTGGCTAACTTCCAGGAGGTGCTTTATCAAAGGTTGTATGCTGGGCATTATTAAGCATTTTAGGCTACTGCTGGCAGGGTGAGACAGAGAACCTCTACTTTGGAATTCATATAATAATTGACACTTCTGAAAGCATAAGAACATACCAAAATGTTTTACACGTGTCTTGCAGAGGAGCAGATTCCACGCAAGACATAAAAGAGAAGAGAAACCTCCCCTAAAAGTGATAACAGATCTGCAGCAACACATTGCAGGCAGAACTGAGCTGGGAAGGACTGCAGGTGCCTCTTAAGGATTTCATTAACCTCTTAATAAATTTGAGCAGTGATCCAAAGTAAACACGATGCAATTCAATATGACCAAATGCAAAGTATCCTGCTTAAGTAGGAATAAGTGACCATGCTACTGCAGGAAGAGAAACAACCACCTACATAGCATTTCTGTAGGACAGACCTAGATTTTTCTTAGCAAAAACAAGAGAACTGGGGAGAAGAGAGAGAGCAATCCTCAAACATATCAGGTGCTATAAAGAAAAAGATGTAAATCTCATTCCCATTTCCCACATGAACAGAACAACAGGGATGAACTTACTGCAACAAGTGAGAATTAGGCTGGAAATGGGGAGGGGGGAAATTGCCCAGCTTGCATACTCTGACTAAGGAGAGGCTGGGACATCATTGTTTAAGATGCAAGACTTTAAGAGAAGGTAAGAGTAAAAGCTGTCAGATAAGACATAGGTAAAGGAGGTCCTGCTTTTTGTTGATTTATAAGTGTATCAGATGATTTCTCACAAACTGTTCATTTTCTATTTTACTGTTTATTAATCAATGACACCTTCATGGAAAAGTTTCCTTTTAAATAACCTTGCTTTAAGGACTACAGTCCTTTGAAAGAAAAGTGAATTACTTTTATTTTAACTTCTGAATATTGCAACCAGGATGACTTTGAGGCTCACACACTCAACACTGTCTTGTGAATTTTTCCAGGGTAACACTGACAGCAACCTACTGAAAACTAACTTCAATCCTGTGATCAGATGCAAACCCAAAAGCCTTCCACGTTCCTGCAACATTCAGCCTCTCTGTTTTATATTCTCACTCACTTTCAATCTCTTTCTCCCCTTTTTCCAGTAACTCTGTTCCTGATATGTTAGGTAACAACACCAATAATCCTGTGGGTTTGGAGCTGGCTGTGTTATTGGAGTCTCCATGGGTACAAATTCCACACACTTCCTTGGCTTAGGCTCTGACATACTTTTCAGAAAACGTTACAGAAAAAATCATCATGAAACCCCTTATTCCATGTCAGTGTGATGCTTCCCCTTGTTCATGTTAACACGTCTAATGGAGATTTTTCTCAGCCATTGAGAAGAGCATGCAGAGATTTCACTGTGATTCTCCAAGAGAAAAAGAAAGAAAGCAAAACTCAGAAGTTTTCTGTCAAGTTTTATAAATTTGCTGTTTTCCTTGGCAGCACCTGCTTTCAAAAACTGTTCAAAGACTGAGCACGTATCAGTTTTCATTATGCAAGGCTTACTGCTGGAACTAAAATAAATGGGATAGGAAGCAGGGAGCAGAGTGCTTCCCTTTCTACTCCAAAGCTCTTATAAGCTTGGGTCTGTGCTGCACTCCTTGGTGATTTTAACCTTGAGAGAAGGATGCAGAACTGAGTGAGCAGGGCATGACAGCTCTGAAGCAGGCAGGTTAACACACACTCCTGCTCCACTTGCCTGCAGTAGGAGGCAGGACATATCCCTGCTTCTTTTTAAAGCTGTTAATAATTTCTTATTTAGGAATAAAACTGCACCAAACCTTAAGCACAAAGCCAGGCTCAGGGTCATCAGCATCATCACTGTGACCCTTTTGTTAGAAAACTAAACCTTTTAGAATATAATCTTGTCACCTAGTACTAATGCAATGTGACAATGATTAAAAGCTTCACATTACTAGCAGTGTCTTACTTTCACCATCTCTTTCTTAGGGACAGACATAAAACAGCCTGCATTAATGACAGAAAACAAGAGAACTTGTCTCTTCTTTGCAGAATGTCTGGCACAAGGTGGGTCAGCAAGAGTTGACCATATTCATTTCCAAGGGAATTGCTTGAACTACCTGAAAAGATTTGTACACACTGATTTGTTTTTATAGGAATCTGTATCCAGACGACTATCACCACCCAGCAGAGGAAGAATGTGAGGTGCAGTACCAAACGTTCTCTTTCTTTCCCAGTATGACAGAATAAATCTCACAGTCATGGGCACATTTCAGTCTGCATGCATTCAGGACATCTGCTGCTGTGGCAGAGGCAAGGACTTCATGTCAAGACTTAAAAATGTATGCCTGAGGCTACAAATACCCTTCTTCATAGAGCAAACTCTTTCAGGTCTCTCCTGGTCATTTTCCTCTTCTGGGAAGGGACTTCAAGGAAACAGCACCTGATGAGTTCTGCTGAATTTCCAGCTTGAGTTGTTTCCAGGAGGGCACAGAGGCTATGCTTGCAAACATCTATTAGCATACGCATAGAGGAGACATTCATTTACAGGCAGAAACAAGAGTAACAAGAATCTTTTGCAATTCTCATCCGGGGACCATAGGTTTTGTATCTGTCACTGCCAACAGCATAAAAATACCAGTTACATCTTCCAACCACGGACAGACACTGATGTGGTACACGGTTTTCTCCAGTGTAGTGTGCCAAAGTCCTGCAATGCCAATCACATGCAAATGGCTATCTGAGCAGTGACAGGACTGCAAATTTACCTGCTCAAGGCGGGCACTGCGAGCTGTTCTCAGTTATTGCAGCCAGTAGATGGCTCCTCAGTACACTCTTTAGCTCCGTGCTCAGCAGAGACTTCCAGCTATGCAGCAGCTCAGCCCGAGCCAAGCGTTCTGTAGACTGCTCCATAGCTGGTTCTTTAAAACTTGTGACAAACACTGCATCAAGAAACATTTGTTGTTAAATAGATAACTTGATGTGGCGTGATAAATTATGCTGTTCCTAGCCTTATCCAACGCATCCCCCAGGTCTAACTTCAAGCACTCCAATCATGTTATTCCACCCACAAAAGAAATGCAGCCCTTTCTGGGGTGAGAAATGGAAGCTGTGCAACTGCATGGGGCGATGCTGCACAACAATTTGCTTTTATTTCTAAAGAATTTGCATTAAAACAGGATTCCTGCTCCCTGTCTGCATCAGCTGCCTGTACTCCACTCCAATCCATAATCCTCTGTTTGTTATTTGTGACTTCACAATTGGTCGCTATGGGAACGATTTTGATGTCATGGAGAATTATTAGTTCAGGTAGGGAGAAATCAGCAGCAGAAGCAAACGAACTCTTAGGAAACAAAGAACCTGTTTACATGCAAATGTTGCTGTGCGGAAGGGCGAGGGAACAGAAATGCAGCTAATTCGAGGAGTCTGCTTCCAGCTTTTTGCCAGTTACCCACGAGCCAATAGGAACTTTTCAATATTTAATATAGGAAAGAAAAAAAAAAACTTAAAAAAAAATAGTACTAACAGAGCTTGCTGGATCACCAGTTTGTGTGGGGCCTCCAGATGCATCCACAGTATAAAACACAGGCTCACCTTGTGCCATGCCAAGGGTAGTTGACAGTCTGTGCTTTGGGGTGAATGGGGATGCCTCTCCTCACCACTCACTTTCCCATGGTCCCCACTGCAGGGCTGGCGCTGCTGTCTTTACATGGCAGAGATGGGTCTGTGCTCTCCCTGCACCCATCATCCTGCTCCACCAGGCAGCCCCTCAGTCACCTCAGTGCCAATCTCATCCCAGTCACCTCATCCCCACCTCGTCCCCATCACCACAGCGTCCCAATTCTTACCCCGCTGCCTCACCCCCAGTTCACCCCCACTCACCTCATCTCCCCACTACCTCAGCCCCATTTTGTCCCTTCACTCCACCAGCATTTCACCCCAGTGGTCCAAAACCACCTCAGTGCCTTCTTGTCTGTCAGCTCAGCTCTGCATTGTCCCCACCACCTCAGTTATCCCACCTCACCCCCATGTTGTCATCATTATCCCAACCCCATCTCACCCCCGTCACCTCAGCCCCACACAGCCCCTGTCCCCACTCCCTCACCCCCAGTTCACCCTCCCTCACCTCAGCCCCACACAGCCCTCACTCCCTCAGCTCCATCTTGTCACCTCAGTTCATCCCCACATCAGCCCCGCTACCTCAGCTCCACCTTATCCCCGCCACCTCAATCCCGTCACTTTACCACAATCACCATCCTGGCCTCACTACTCCTCCTATCTTGTCCCCATCACCCCGGCCCCACATCGCGCCCTTTTCCCGCCCGCCTCACAGCGCCTCTCACTCACTCACTCTCACCCCCCCCACCCTCCTCCCGCCTCCCGCCGAAGCGCCAAAGCGCCCGCCAACTCTCAGCCCCGCCCACTCCCCTCTACCATTGGCTGATCCTCAGAACATCCCGCCTTCCTTTTGATCGACAGTCTCTAAGCCAACCAGCGGCGGCATCTAGCCGGCCACGCCCTCTCCCCCCCTCAGAGGAGCGGGCGGGGCCGGGCGGTGACGCGCGGGGAGAGGGTAGCAACAGTTGCCTCGAGACCCGGCGCGAGGCGCCATAGTGACCGTAGCCCTGGAGACTGTTCCTTGCCAACGGGAGCGGCGCGCAGCCCCGGCGGCCGGAGCGCAGCGCGACCCGCTGAACCCGGCGGGGAGGGCAGGTGAGAGGAGCCGGTCGGATCTCGGAACCGTTTGGAGCTTTTATTATTATTATTATTATTTTAAACTCTTAGGGAGAGGCGGTGGAACGGGACGGGCCGGGCCCGGCTGTGGGGCGTCCCGCTGCTGAGGGGACGCGGAGCGGGACGGCTGAGCGGGGCGAGGCCTCGGCCGGGCGCCGTGAGGTGAGGGCGCAGCTCGAGCCGCCCGCCGGGCCCCGCTGCCCTCAGGGAAAGTTCCGGGGCGGAGCGGGGTTTTGGGGTTTGAGGGGGGTTTTGTGTGTATGGTGCGGTGTTCCGGGGTTAACAACTTCCACCCGCTTGGCTTTGGGAGTTATTGATGGATTTGTTGGTTTGGTTTTTGATTTATCGGGTTCTTTGATTAACGCGCGTTGTAAACGTTAGAGCTCCGTGAAACGGAGCAAAAGTCCCGGAACCGAACGAGTTTTTTTGTAGGAATCTGACGAACGAGAGGAAAAACGGAACGCTGTGAGGGTGCGGTGGGAACCGGGGCGGGGAGGGAGCGGCGCCGGACCCGGCTGAGCCGCTCATCCCGCCCTGCTGACACCGCCCGGCTCGTCCCGCCGTGTGAATAAAGCACGTTGTGCCACCGGAGCTGCTTCCTCCCCCTCCCCCGGAGCGGGGCTGTGTGTGTCTGTGCGCCTGTTCCCAGCGTGAGTTCCTGCGTTGGGATTCGATCTTTCCTTTCTTTGACTTAGGGATGAAAGTGATTGTTTTCTTGGGTTTGTTTTTGGAGGAAGCAAACCGTACTTATCGAAGCGGGGTAAAGTATAACTTGGAAAAAGGCTTTTTTGTTGTTCCTTAAAGTGGCCACGCGCTGCTTCAGAGCCATTGGTTGGCCGAGGTTTTCTCATCTGCTCCAACCCAAACTTTTTGACTCTCAGTTATAAACCCTTGGAGAACGCAGAGCCATTGCTGACATGGGGCGGGGGAAGAAAGAAAACAGAAATCAATCAAAATGTAAAGGCTCATTCTGCTGTGAGGCTCATTCTGTGAGTGAGAGGCAAGTTCTTTGCTCTGAGAGTGGTGAGGTGCTGGAACAGCTGCCCAGAGAGGCTGTGGATGCCCCGTCCATCCCTGGAGGTGTTCAAGGCCAGGTTGGATGGGGCGCTGGGCAGCCTGGGCTGGTATGAAATGTGGAGGTTGGTGGCCCTGTATGCAGCGGGGGGGTTGGAGATTCACAATCCTCTCAACCCAGGCCATTCTGTGTTTCTGCTCTATTTGACTTCCTGCAAGGGTTTGCTTGAGTTCAAGATGAACCCATCTCCTCATAGGACTGAGCTGTGGGATCAGATGCTGACATCAGTGCTGGGATAGGGGGCTTCCACGGAGGCTTTGTTGTTTAATTTTGAAAATCATATTTAAAAAAAGAAAAAAAGAAGCTGTTGTCTTAGCACTCGATATCGCTGTCCCAAGGGGTGTGACGTTAGTTTGAATCTTGCTGGACACCTTACATTTTGCCTTGAGGTGCGTGAGGTTGTGGGTGTGCTCTGCTTTTTGTTTTAAGCCTTGAGAGTTCGGTTTCTCAAAGCTGTTCCTGTACAGCAGGGTTTGGGAATGCCAGTCTTTCCAGAAGGAACTTGGGATCCTTGTGTAAGTGCGAGATCTTGGCCTAAAGGGCAAAAACACATGCAAAAGTGAGGGTTGACAGCTGGAATTTCTTTGTCCCTACTTGCCTTCTGCATAATGGGAAAAATACCAGTGAATCCAAGAGTGCTGATAAGGAGCATCCAGTGCTACAGAGGAACGCCAGGTCTGTCAAACTTCCCAGTGGTTCCCTTGGGCAGTCCCTGCCTTGCATTTCCTGCTGTGCCATTTACATCTCATGAATTCCTCTTCTGGCATCATGTCCCTGTCCTGGGGCCCTGCATGCCAGCCCTGTTTGCTGTGGAAGAGCCCAAGAGCACGAAATCCCAAGGCTGGGGAGCAGCAGGGACATAGACTGCTGGAGAGGAGGAAACAAATGGCGTGGCTGTGGCTACAGCCCAGGGCAGCAAATCCATCCTCACCCTGCAGTCTGCCCTCTCTAAGAACGATTTGTATGTTTGTCACATACGTTTGCAAGGCTGGCATGCAGGTCAAGGTGCAGCCTCACAGAGTGACCTGGGACAGTACAGCAGGGTAGGAGGGAAGGGGCTCCCATTAAGACTTGAAGCTGAGTGAGGTCTGGAGAGTCAGCATTAACTGTGTGTTAGATAGATATCTGTGTGCATGTGTACTTGCATGATGGGGCAGCAGAAATGCATTTCTTGTATGCTTTTGCTTGTGTGAATGTGAAATGGTGATTTAAGGCTGTAATTTATGAAGACACGAGCAGCCATTACCTCTGATGGCACTGACAGATGCTGCATGTCCTTGCTGTCTGTTGGGGTAAATTAGAATCATGGCATGGTTTGTGTTGGAAGAGACGCTGAAGCAACGCCATCCCCAACCCCTGCTGTGGGCTGCTTGCCCCCAACCAGATCAGGCTGCCCAGGGCCCCATCCAACCTGGCCTTGGGTGTCCCATGCCTGGAGGTGCCCATACCTTCTCTGGACAGCCTCATACCATCATGATGAGGAATTTCTTCCTAATATCTTGTCTAAGCATACTTTCTTGTGATTCAAAGCCATTATATTGTCCCGTCACTGCACCCCGATAAAGAATTCCTCCCCAGCTTTCCTGTAGTCCCTTTTACAGAAGGATGCCTCCCTGGAGCCTTCTCTTCTCCACCCTGAATGCCCTCAGCCTGACTCCACAGCAGAGATGTTGCAGCCTCTGAGCATCCTCCTGACCTCTGCACCCGCTCCATCAGCTCCACATCCTTTTGGTTCCTCAGTGGAGAACATTCAGCATTTAGGTGCCGCTAAAAGTCAGCCCTGCACTTGTTGCCATTCCTACACCTTTTGCAACAAAATGTCTTCAGAGCTGACATCAATTTAAAGCCTCAGTCAGCACAGCTTTTCCTGGCTCCATCAAAGTGAAATAGATGGCGCCAGTCATTGTCTTTAAATAGTCTCATACTTGTAACACCTCGGAGCATTGACAGCTGTTAAGTTGAATCAGAACATGGTTTTGCTTTTAATACAGGCCTATAAACAAAGCTGATTTAATGCATCTTAGCATATTTCCCCCGTTCTGTTTTAATGCTCTAAATCTAAGTGCATCCTGCAGCGTGTGCAGTCACAGAACAGGGAGGGCAGTGCTGATTCAACAGGCTTATCTTACAGCTGCCTGCTCAGCCAAAGTTTCTGTTGGAGGAGGCCGAGTTATATTTAAACCAGTTTCCCCCTTTCCCTCCCATGAAATAAATGCCAGCACTGCTACCGCCAGACACCGGGCAGCTGCAGCCTGAGCTGTGAGCCCGAGCTCCGTGTGTGCAGCCCCGAGGTGTGGGGTTATTTTCTCCTGTTTGAAATGCACACGGGCTTTCTTTCTGTCATCTGTGCTCTGAGAGGAGGTGGTTTGTTTTGTTTGTGCTGGCAGTGCTTTATTCCTGTATTCAAACATTCACAAATCCACCTTATTGTCTAAGAATGTGCTGGCTTGCTTGTGGTGGGCTGTCTCTGTCTAAGTAATGTGTGAACTAATTATGCCATAAATACATAAATAGATAATGAAAATGTATTCAGCACAAGCCACGCACCTCCTAATGCACTGAGCAAAGAGGAATCCTTTTGTAAGGGCACTACCTACAAATAATCACTTTCCATAGCACAGATAGCATGGAGATACGTCAGTGCACATTGTTAGGCAAACTGTTTCCAAATAAAAACAAGGAAACAACCAGCATCTTCAGCTTTGGGCCATGTATTCATGAATGATAGCCATGTTTGTGATACAATGTGCATCATTCAGCTAACTTGTTGAAACAGTGTTTGGTGTAGACGTGTAACTTCATGTCAATGACGGAAAGTCTTCCTCACCCAATGAGATCCAGCTTGCTTATCACACCAGGTGTGGGCAGCATCCATCCAGCACTGCAGTTACAGGGAGAATTCTGACGTGCATGAGAAGCAAAACCTCTTCCCAAAGAGAGCTCTAAGAACTCTTTTGGTTTTATTAGTCTGATGTTATACAGGACTTAAGAGCTGTAGAAGTGCCAGATGAAGGCATTTGAAAAGCAGTTTAAAGGCAATTGCTGGGTGCGCTTTTCCTCTAAGTGAGGTTTCTATTAGAAAATTAAGAATTTCTTTTTCAGAGTTTAACAAACGCTAAAGAAGTCTCAGTGTAGTACAAATGTGTCCTACTGGCAAAGCTATGAAAGAAATTGACAATTTGTTGCAGTTGCTTTCAAAGAAACAGTGGTCACAGGATGCTGTGCCAGTGATGACTGTACAAAGCAAATACAAAATACAAGTTCCTCTGCTGGAGGAAGTCCTCAACAAGAAGGAAAAGTTGCACTGACTGGACCTGCATCCTGTGCTGATGCACCATTTTGTCCATCAGTGTGTGTTGTATCAGTCAGGCTCCACAGATGGCTTCGTCTCTTTGAGGTGGTTCTTCTCTGGCTTCACATGCAGAACAAATGACAGCACATGGCTGTGCACGCTGGGAAGCCTGGTGTTTGCCTGTCCTCTGCAGCTCAGCTGCTTCTCCTCCTGTCTTTGGGGTGTTTAGACTTTCCAAAGCTTCTAGTCATCACCAAGAAAATACTGGTTGGTAGGAATGCCTGGAGGGGAGGATGTCTGAATTCTTCACCTCTTTTAGGGGGGACTCCTGGGTAGTCAAAGCCTGAAACACAGTGAGTGCAGGAGGCACAGGTGCTGCTGTGCGTGCTGCCAGCTCTGAGGTGCATCCAGCAGTGGATCTGTGTGGGCTCAGCTCTGCTGCTTGGGGCAGTTCTGCTGAAGGACAGCAGGGGAAGGAGAGAAAAACAAAAAAGAAATGCAAGTGGAGTGATTACAAGCAAACAACCTTCTAGCTGCTGGCTGGTTAGTTGTTTTTAGACTATTCAGCCTAAGATCCCATTGCCACCATGACAACCTTGCAACAATTCTGGA